AAAAAGTTTCCAGCGGTTCCGCAGTCGGAGACATTACCTTTTTTCTTTTTTTTTTTATAAAGAATTTTATCTGCTCAGGGTGGAACAGTAAATACAACAGGCGCAAATACAATTAGGAACAAAAGCCTTATGCTATGACTAATACAAATGTATGGCCTCCACATAGGCAGCTCGCATTTGGACATTATCAAAGATTCATACAAACAGAACGGGGTGAGGGGTTAGACAATCTGTCGCAAGATCCCAACAGTAATGGGGTGTAGGGGTAGCAAAAAAATAGACACACAAAAAAACCTGCTAAATATAATGTAGGATTAAAATTATACACTAAACAAAAAGCTTACATACTAACTTACATGCTAACTAAGATACATATATATATATATGTACAATGACGCAGGATAAAAATGACAAGCATCGAGCAGTATACGCATGTTACCTACTGCTGGTTATAATTTGCCCATTAGCACGTGCAATGGCATGTTTGAGCCTGCGCCTACGCCTAAGTTCATCTTTCAACCGGGCGTCGTCTGCCAGCCACCAATATTTATCGTCGAGCCTATGCGTATCGTTAAGATCGGAATGCAGAATGGCGGTATTGTATTTGAGTAAGGGTTTGTTTGTTGTGGAGTTAAATGAAATTGCTTTGTTAGACTGGTGACGGGCAGCGTGATACAGTATAGGAACATTTTGCGGGTCTTGAACGACGCCTTTACTATCGAAATACATAAAAGTTTGCGGAGGGAGGTAGCCGGTTAGTGCCATGGATTCGCAGTCGAGGGTGTCAACAGAACTATATGAGTTTAGGAAGCTATTGTTTACATCGGGAAGATTAGCGAAGTAATCTCTAGTTAATTTGATAATAAAGTTGTCGATTCTCGGTATGTCGGCTATGTCGTAGAGGGTTGAATCATTAATGTAACGCTTGCTATCGGTGTATCTGTACAAGTGAAGCGACGCTCTCAGACATGTGCGTTCAAACTTGCGAAGTCTTTCCATAAGAGACGCGCTGATATTCCACCAGGCCGGGGCTCCATAAGTAATAATAGGCATGACTAATAAAAGGTAGCATATTACCTTCACTCGCGGGGATAAGGTCCTACTATAGAAAAGTCGGCTATGCGCTCTGAAAGTGTTTTTGGCCTTCTGTAACTGCGTGATAACGTGAGTGTTTAATCGTAACAGATAGTCAAGGTGGATCCCTAGGTACCTGACGCATTGTTTGTGTTCAATAGGTATCGGTACATTAGTGTTCATTATGTGGATACGGAAATTTTTTATGCCGGTTCTAGTATTGGGGTTAAGGAAACGAAATGGACGGTGGAATAAAATAGTTTCACACTTTTGGGGGTTGACTCAGAGGTTCCAAAGATTATAGTGCCTATTAATGTTGTTGGCTAATTCTTCCAACGTAGACTGAACAGTAGCTGGGTTTTTGCGAGCCACTAACACGATAAGGTCGTCGGCGAAAGCGGCAGCATGAGTGTTATTGTTAATATTAAGGTTATAAAGAGTCGGGACGGCGCACGTGAAGATATTGAAGAGATCAGGGGAGTTGACGGTGCCCTGCATAAGTCCCTCAAGTATGGCAAATGACTCAGAGGAGAGACACTCCCCGTTCCATATTGCGAAGGACCGACCTCTCGTCATGTTCCACACAAGATGAATAAGGTCAGATGAGTAGTTCAGTGAGTGAAGTATGAAGAGCAGACCAGCAATCCAGACGGAGTCGAATGCTTTCTCAATATCAATGAGAGCAGCACCCACCACCATGCCGCTGTGCAGGTGGGTGTGAATATCACTAAGGATTTTGTTGACAGCGTGAACAGTAGAGTGCTTGTGTTTGAAGCCAAATTGGCTGTCAGGTATGATATTATTAGTCTGGGTATGGCGTCTGATAGATTTGTTAATGATAATTTCGTACACCTTACTAATTGCGGGCGTAAGACTTATGGGCCTGTAGCTACTGACTTTGTCAGGGGGTTTGCCTTTCTTTGCGATCGGTAATATTTTAGATTTTTTGAAGTAGGAGGGGAAATATCTATTGTCGAGCGCATTATTAAAGAGAACAGTGTAATCAGATATGATTTTAATATCGAGGTGCTTTAATACAATGGGGGGTATGTTATCAAGACCAGCGGAGCATTTGTTAGGTAGGTTTTCGAAAATTTTAGCAACTGCATACGCGGGCAAGAAGATGGAATTATTCGATGGTCGAGGGTCGGAGGCCAGGTTATTGTCGTTGAAGGTGGTGATGGTGTTACCTAGAGTCTCGTCACTCTGGAAGGAGGAGGTTAGACGGGACACGGTGGCCTCAACCTCAGTTTTAAGATGTGAACCAATATTGGTATATCTAGGGGAGTTAATTTTCTCGTAATAAGCACCAATGATGTTAAGAATGTCATTAGGAGAATTGATTAAAATGCCATCGGGTGTTCTTATGAAATTATCTGATGGGCATTTACTTCTTGTCAGGAAGTCAGTATCACTATCGTCTAAGACGACCGAGTTAATAGTTAATTGGGCCCTGGGGCGGAAAAATCTGTTAATTTTGGGAAAAAAAGTTTGTGGGTTATGGTGGTCAATGTATTTGACTTGCGAATCCCAGTATTTGGTGTATGCGATGCCGTACTCAGATTTCAGCAACAGGTTTATTTTGGAGATCAGATTTTTAATATGAGTGGTGCGAGCAACGGTGAGAGGAGTGACTGGCTTTTCGCTATAAAGACGGTTACGAGCGGTGATTAAGAAGAATTTGTGCTTGTGCAGTTGCTTGATTTTGCGGTTGACATAATTGAGCATATTGTTGGTTGGAGCATATCTAGGCACAGAGCTATCAATGGTGGAAAGGATAGCGGCATTTAGTGAAGTGATCAGTTTTATTACATTTATAGCATCTTCTTATTGTTGACTTAAAGGCTACTTGTTCTTCCACTGTTTCATGTAGGTTTAATCTATTTTCTGCTTGTTGTAGCCTGGTTATTAGATTAGTTAGTGTTTTATCGTTTGGTGCTGTGGAATTCCAGGCACTTACAAAATGTCTGTATTGGCTTGGTAGTGTAGCTATAATCTTAGTTATTAGCATAGTATCATCTATTGGTTGATCTAATTTTACATTTCTATTGAAACTTTTATTTCTCATTGTATGTATACAAAAAATATTAAATAAATGAAAATTTTCATATGTCACTGTTATAATGCGCAAGTACGACTACGAACTCCAGTTCTATATTTGATATCCATGAACGTCAAATGTTACTGAAAGAATCTGTTTCGTTAGGCAACTATCATCGGTAATGTTCATATGTCATTTGAATGCAGTTACGAACGAACGAATTCTTTTGTCTCCGTGAACAGTGAACTAAGAGTTCTCGGAACCAACAGTTTGTTATTCGTTGCTGCGCCAACACCAAAAAACCACTACGCACACGCTCGGATCCGTTTTATTACATTTTTTAAAAGCATGTTTACCTAAAGTGCGGCCCGCTGTAACGTGATGGATCATCAAAGTGACCCGTGAAACCATTTGAGTTGGCCAGGCCTGATCTAATGCGTTTAGTCCATAGGATAAATTTTATAATGTACTCACGTGCGTGGCTATATCACTGCCCTTTTCAAATGAATAGTTAAAAAATTCCTGTAGTAGAGAGCATTTTTTTTGTTCCGTATCTTTTCCATATATTTTTACTAATTTGCCAAACATTTCTTTCGATCTCTTACAGTTTAGGAGATGCATCTGGGGCTTTTTTTCCGTCGATGCAATTATTAATCTTTGAGCCTTCGCGTCCTTGAGTTCCATTCTGTCTTCCTTTCTTCTGATTCTGTACCCTCAAGAATAGTTTCGCCGTTTACTATGTCATAAACACTCATTGATTTGAACATAATTATTATCTGAAATTTCCAGAACTGAAAATTTGACTCATCTTTTAGGTTTTCAATTTGAACTATTTCTTCGCCAATGTGATTGTTCCATGTGGCCATCTTGTTTGTCTCACGACCACGTTTTCCGTAATCTAATGATATCTTTGCAATCACTTATTTTCTTTGGTTTTATTATTTTTTTGTTTTTTAGTTTTGAATTTTCTTTACTGGGACTAGGTTCATAACCTGTTATTAATTGTGGTTTTAATGGTTTTTAGGTTTTAATAAATCACTCTTTATCTTACACTTGTACTGATTATTAACGCTTTATTACTATATAACAAAACTAAAAAGCAGTATGAATATTATTTAGTAGGTGTCGCTTTATGTAGATAAGGAAGTTATCTTCTATATTGATTTGATTTACATTTGTCCTCTCAACAGCATGCACTCGCACAAACAACGGAAAGTATGCGCGTATATGCCATGCGCGAGAGAACAACTCGATTTCGTAGATTTGATTTTTCGTCTCGATAATTGCATAATTGAAATTTTCGCGGGTGTAACATACACGGGTGGACTTCGCTACAAGTCGGTCTGGTCCATTTGAACGGTAATATACACCATACGTTGAGGAAAATGATATTTTCGAAACTGTAAGATTGAGACAGACGCTGTTGTAAGCAAACAACATGGCTGCCGAATGCTGCGTTCGGCTGAACGATTGAACGATTTAATGGTTTTTTCACCGATAACACACTAGATCACCCTTCCTTGAACGAGCATAATATGTACTGCGAATACCGTGGATGCTTTCTCTGAGTGAAGTGCCCATCCTGCGGATCGGCAGTCGGCTGGCTCGCTCGGAATCACCGGCTGCGGAGGGAAATACTCGCGCATGCGCAGTTTGTATGGAGATATGCTAGTGGGGCGGTATGCTCGGGCCCCTATAATATGTCATCGTATCGACGACCCTGTCGATCGGTTACACGGATATACAGACCTTGGTTATAAAATATTAGTTGGAAATAAAATAGTTACGAGTGAAAATGTACAGTTTATAGAGAAAGGAACAAAAACTGTAAAAATTGTGGAATACGAAAATATAGAACACACCGATAAAAATATGAACCACAAAAATGAAACGGAAGAAGAACAAGATGCACAATCATCAAACACTGATGACGGAAGACAATAGGAGGAAGACCAGGAGAAGGAAAAAACTGAAGAGGTGAAAAGTTCCGAACGACCAAAGAGATATGATGACCATATTGTTTACGTAAATTACTGCAGTGCAAATGTACCTGAAAACTATGATGAGGTCATAACTTGTCCAGAATCGAAGAGGTGGATGAAAGCAATGAAAGAAGAAATTGGAAGCCTGGAAGAAAATAATACCTGGTCTTTGGTGGATGAACCAGTTAATGAAAAAATTATTGAAGTAAAATGGATTTACCAAATCAAATCAGATGGAAAATACAAAGTACATGTTGTTACGAAAGGTTTCCAACAACCGTACCAAGAAAAAGAAGATTCGCCAGTGGCAAGGACGAATACGTTAAAACTCTTACTGTTAGTCGCATGTATCAACGGATAGAACATCGAACAGATGGATGTCGAAACCGCGTTTTTGAACGGTAACATTAAATCCAAAATACAGGGAGATTCTCTCGGCGCGCAACACAATAGCCGCCCCGCACAATGGAACCCTGCTGTGTTTGCGGGCAAAAAGCCCAGGAGGTCAAGTCGCCGGACCCAAGACACACGACTTTTGGGTCCAGCGATTTGACCTCCTGAGCTTTTTGCCCGCAAACACATCAGGGTTCCATTGTGCGGGGCGGCTATTGTATTGTATTTATCCTCCAGATGGCTATGTTACGTTGCGCGACGGAAGGCGAGCGCGCCACGAATAAAAAAGAAAATTAAATTATTATTATTGATTATTTCTTTCTTTAATTTTTGGGCGATGAGAGAGGTATCGCTACCACCACTCCTGACCGTCTTTGACGCGTTAGGGCCATTCCACGCAAAGTGATCACACTTTTTCCCGCATGGTCTTGGATTTTTGTTAAATTTTGTAGGCTTGTAGAACCCAATGTACGAACAAAAAATCGATGCTCCGTTCCTCGATATTGTTTAAACTTTCCAAGTTATAAGGACTGAAAATTTAGGGTCACTTTTTTTCAAAAAATCATAACTCGGAAAGTATTATAGATTAACTAAAATCTCAACTTTGCGTTTGATTTAAAAAAAATGTGTGCACTTGTGCGGGGCTTGATTATTACTGTAGTAAAGAGTGAACCTTCCTCTATCAGAATCAGAAAAAAACGGCTACCCCAACCTGCCACTGCTCAAAAAAATGACGATTGAAATAAATTACACCCATCTTTGCTGCAGCGCACGATGATGGAAAAGCAGTACCAGATACGATTATTATCCAGTTAACTGTATTCGACGTATATATTCGTTATCCAAAACTTTATTTCGGTTCAATAAACTCGAATTCACGAAAATCGACTTTTGATCGCCGAAAGCCGTTTTGTCCCACTGTGCGCCGTCCGGTTCCCATGCGCCGCTACTCTACATTTTTTCAAATAGCCAGCCATCGGTTAACAACTACGGAATAGATCGACACGTTTCTGGTACTTTTGTCTACAAACCCTTAAAAGGCAATAAAAGTATGGCAAACCGATTTTGGCGGTTCACTTTTCCAGAACACCGTTCAGTTTTATTTGGGAAAGCAACGAGACAAGCGGTTTCAGTTAAGCGTTCAGTGTTGTACATAACTATGCTGTGTACTTTTCAGTTTCTTGTTTTTCTTAGTTTAAAACTGTAATTGTGTACTGGTGGAAAGCAAAAATGCCGCGAAGATATTGTTCCAATCCATTTAGTTTACCTCGACATTCAAATGTAACTAAAAATCTTCGTTCAGTTACAATCGCCTTTCGTGAAAAATATCAGAATATATTATTAGGAGAAAATTTGTGCTGCATGTGTAGAATGCGAGTAATTCGAACATCTAGTTTAAATCGTCCAAATCTTCCTATCGTAAACGTAAGTGAGCCGGGTTGTTTTCCAACAGTTCAAGAGCCAATTGTTGGTCCAAGTAATGTAGAACAAGTAATAAGCAACAATTCGTCAAATTCGGGAACAAATGCAGATACAGGGTGATTCTCTCGCAACGCAACACAAAAGCCGGACCCAAAACTGCTTTGTGTGTGTTTATGGCTGAGACGAAGACAAGAAACGGAACAGCAGGGGTTCCATTGTACGGCACGGCTATTGTGTTGCGTTGCGAAAGAATCACCCTGTAGTTATGTAGAAGAAATAGATCGGGAATATTCGTTATCGTCGTTAAATAGTGCCCTTAAATCTCTCGGTGAATCTCCTATCACATCAAAATCTTTAAAATCACCTCTCCAGATTAAGAAAAAAGTATGTATTAGAAACAATTATTTACTCCAATTTGTAAATAAGCGGAAATTAAGCGGATAGACCGAAAAGTAACGCCGACAAGTGCAGTGGCGCATGGGGACCGGATGGCGCGCGATGGTCGGCCGGCAGGTCATACGCAGCAATAAAATTTTATAACTCCGGCAATTCTGCGTGTTCCATCATGAAATTTTCAGGGTATTTAGAAAACTCTTTAAAGATTCTACAGAAAAAATTTCAGACCGATTCGTGCTCCCCCTTGGGGTTATTTTCAAGTTTGAAAATTATAAACATTATTTACAACAATTTGAAGATTGCGTTGAAACATGTAGTGATTTTTTCATTAAACTTTGAAGCTTTACCTATAAAATGCCGGTTCATGCATGTCGATATCTGTAATACTTTCCGAGTTATGATTTTTTGAAAAAAAAGTGACCCTAAATTTTCAGTCCTTATAACTTGGAAAGTTTAAACAATATCGAGGAACGGAGCATCGATTTTTTGTTCGTACATTGGGTTCTACAAGCCTACAAAATTTAACAAAAATCCAAGACCATGCGGGAAAAAGTGTGATCACTTTGCGTGGAATGGCCGATATAGCGTACGTCTACGCATGTGGTTTTTACCACCTGGTCGAACGGAGTCTGGAAAAGGTTCACGTCGTTCCGTAAGATATCAAAACTCTTTTTGTAACACACCGTGTATTATTTTATCCAAATTGATACTTTTATCGCGACGCTCAGACTTGTTCTGATACGCCTTTCTTTACACACGTAGTTTTTTTTTGTTTTTTGTCTTTCTTTAGGTTGGTAATACTGATCGTGCGCCTGCGCGCTACAAGTAGGTCCCTACACGCCTGTGGGTACTAGGTCCCACGGGAAAGGAATAATGAAATAAGAGCGACACGAATGTACGATAAAAATGTATCTTTTAATTGCACTGCTCCTACGCCGTGTTTGTACTCTGGCAGTTACGCTTTTTGAATGCATGGACGCTTGCTTTTTTGCGTCTTGCTAAAACGTACAACAAGCTTACCAAACTAACTATATACTAGAAACTAAAACTAACCTAACTTAACCTAGTGACATTCAGAGGGCGCATAAGAGCGCGCCGATGGTCGCTACACGCTGTAGGCGATTCCCCTTTTAGCCACAGACTATGTACATACAGGTTAAGGACACACTAGGTTAAGTTAGGGACATTAGGTTTACTCTCTAGATATAAGACACAGTGTAACAAACGCTCAAAGAAAAAAGACTGAATAGTTAGCTAGTTCGAATGTAACGGTCGACAGAGAAATACATACATATATTTTACCAAACCAAGAATCAGCGTCCGCGTTATTACTGAACCTTCGAACGCCACAACTGGTGGCGAAACCCTACGAAAATGACGGATAAAGAAAAGATGGAAGCTGGAACAGCTGCAGAGGTAAACGCCAGCGATTTCAGGAGCGTAAAGCTCTCTACGTTCTGGAAAGACGACCCCAAGCTATGGTTCGCCATGCTGGAAAAAGAATTTTTGGCGTACGAGGTGAGGTCTGATGTGGTAAAATGTGTATCAGTATTACGACATTTGGACAGGAATATCATCAGAGTCGTCGCAGACATAATCTCAGCCTCAGAGTGCGAGGATTCGTACAGACGGATTAAAGAAGCGCTGATAGAGCGGTTGGCGTCGTCTGAGGAGACACAGCTTCGCCAGCTTCTTACAGGGATCAAGTTGAACGGACGGAAGCCGACAGAATTGTTGCGGGAGATGCAATTGCTCGCCGGTGCAAAGGTTAGTGCAAGCGTTTTGCAAACGCTATGGCTTCAGCGTTTGCCCACGCGGGTGCAAGAACTCCTGGCTGTGGTTGATGACGCAGCATTGGATAAGTTAGCAGCATTAGCGGACAAAATGATCGAAAGATCGCCGTTTCCGGAAGTGGTAGCCATTACGGAAAGCGAGCCAAATACGCATCGTGGAACAGCACCGCGTGAACCAAGCTCAGAGATCGCAACATTAACGCGAAAAATGGAACAATTGGAAACGTTGATTCACGATAATTTTCGCAGAAGACCCAGAAGCCGCAGCCGAGGCCGATCCTTTAAGAGACGTAGCTCCTCCCGCGGAAGAAGCGCTGATCGTTACCACCAAACTAAGAGACCAGATTATTGTTTTTATCATAGGAAGTTTGGAGAGCGATCATTTAAATGCTCTCAGCCCTGCAGCTGGACAGAACCGGACGCGCGTTCGAAGCAGGAAAACTAAACAGGTCGTGGCAAGTGGAGACGGTTGCTGACGACAACCAAACAAAGAACCGTCTCGTCATCACAGACAGAGAATCGAGGATGGCCTTCTTGATAGACACAGGTGCGGACATTTCGGTAATTCCCAGTAACCGTAGACGACATCCCGCACCAACGGACTTCAAACTTTATGCAGCCAATGGTACAGTTATAAATACCTTTGGAAACAAGACAATAACCTTTTCTCTGGGCCTCCGCAGGCAGTTTCCTTGGAGGTTTGTCGTAGCAGATGTAGGTAAGGCAATTATTGGCGCTGACTTCCTACGCCACTACAATTTGTTGGTCGACCTAAACAAACGTCGCTTAATTGACCCTACAACAACCTTGTACCGCAGTGGTACATTAACAAAGTCAGAAATGCCTACCGTATCTACAATAAATAGTAATAATTAATTTCAAACTCTATTAAAAGAATTTCCAACAGTTACGCTTCCACAGAACCTTGGATTATAAAGGTTAGAGGTTTACCATTACATTACCACCCACGGACCTCCAGTGGCTGAAAGAGCACGTCGTTTGCCACCTGATAAGCTCCAAGTGGCAAAGAAGGAATTTTAGCACATGCTAAACGAGGGCATAATCCAACCATCCAAAAGCCAGTGGGCCAGCCCATTACATATGATCCGCAAAAAGTCAGGTGAGTGGAGGATTTGTGGCGATTATCATAGGCTTAACAGCGTAACTGTACCTGACAAGTACCCCCTGTACCACATACACGATATTGTGCAAAATTTCAATGGGTCAAGAATATTCTTAGTTGTAGACTTAAGGAAAGCCTATCATCAAGTACCTGTAGCCGTTCAGGATCGGCATAAGACTGCTGTTATAACGCCATTCGGCTTGTTTGAATACATAGTAATGCCATTTGGATTGTCTAATGCAGCTCAGACATTCCAACGTGTAATGGACAATATCCTAAGGGACTTAGATTTCTGCCGGTGCTACATTGACGACATTATAGTAGCCTCAAGAAACTCGGCGGAACATGAGCTGCATTTGAAGACATTATTCAAAAGACTGCAAGACCACGGGCTGAGAATCAACGTTGACAAGTGCCAGTTTACGAAGAACACTGTAGAATACTTGGGCTGCACCATAAGCAGTGAAGGAGTTTCACCGCTGAACGAGCGTGTGAAAGCGTTGCAGAACTATCCCAAGCCCAAGACAACACGCGAACTAAAGAGATTTTTAGGCATTATCAATTTCTACAGGAGATTCCTGCCAGCAGCAGCAGAAACGCAGATACCACTTAACCAGATAACCGCAAACGGAAAAGGAAACGGTAATAAGCCAATCAAGTGGACGACAGCAGCGGAGGAAGCATTTGAGAAATGCAAGAAGCAAATGGCGAACGCAACCCTCCTACACTACCCCAAAACAGGGGCTCAGTTGGCTTTGAAGACAGATGCATCGGATAGTGCTATTGGCGCTGTACTAGAGCAACTCAACGACGGCATCTGGGAACCGTTGGGTTTTTTTTCTAGGAAGCTAGAAAAAGCTCAAAGAAAATACAGCACGTATGATCGTGAACTTTTAGCAATATATAAGAGTTTAAAATACTTCAAGCACTGGGCTGAAGGTAGGTCTATAATTATTAAAACCGATCATAAGCCACTAACTTATGCATTTCAGCAAAAAAGTGATAAGGCTACGCCAAGGCAACAAAGACAGTTAGACTTTATAGGGCAGTACACCACACAAATTGAGCACATTCAAGGATACAGAAACACGGTGGCAGACACCCTATCTCGCATAGAGACAATAGACCTACCAGTCCTAATGACAACAGAGGAAATAGCAGAAGAACAAAGGCAAGATCAAGAACTGCAGAACATTCTAAAGGACCCGATGATGGGAGACAGATGGAAGTTGCAAAAAGTTCCAGTACGCGACAGCAACATATGCATTTACTGTGATACCTATAATAATGCCTTAAGACCATACTTACCTCAAACCTTGAGAAAAAGGGTATTCAATTCTGTACATAATCTGTCGCACCCCAGCGGTCGCAGCACCAGGAAAATTATTTGCAAAAGTTTCGTTTGGCCACATATGAAGAAGCAAATCGCGAAATGGGCACGCTCATGCTTACCTTGTCAGAGAAGCAAGATCCATAGACACGTCAAAAAGGAACCAAAACATATAGAAATCCCGGCAGGAAGATTCGAACACCTACACATTGATATTGTTGGTCCACTTCCACTATCAAAAGGATTTCGTTATTGCGTAACAATCATAGACCGTTTCACACGCTGGCCTGAAGCGATCCCAGTAATAGATATATCTGCGAATACAATAGCTACAGCAATCTTCAACAACTGGATACCTAGATTTGGCACGCCGTTAACCATCACCACAGACCAAGGTACGCAATTCGAGTCACAATTGTTTATATCTCTGGTAAAACTTTTAGGTTGCTGTAAAATAGGAACCACAGCTTACCACCCAGCGGCAAATGGAATGATAGAGCGATGGCACAGGTCACTAAAATCGGCAATCACCTGTCACAATAATCCCGAATGGACGGAAGTCCTTCCAACGGTGCTCTTGGGGTTGCGTACTTGCTACAAAGAAGATATCAAAGCTTCAGCTGCGGAAATGCTGTATGGGACCCCATTACGTCTACCGGGCGAGTTCTTCAACCAAGGAGATTACACTGAACCAGAGACTTTCATAAACAAATTCAGGCAGCAGATACAAAAAATCAAACCAGCACCAACGGCGCACCACGCTAGAAAAAAGGTCTTCATTCATAAAACGCTATACGAATGTACTCATGTATTCGTAAGAGTCGACGCTGCCAAAAAGCCATTGGAACCGCCATACGAGGGGCCATTCCTCGTGTTGGAGAGGACATCAGACGATGTGTTCCAGATCGAATATAAGGGAAAACCAACGATGATCAGCGTCGAGCGACTCAAACCTGCATTTATCGAAGCCAATGTCGAACCAAAGACTTATACGCGTAAAAAGACTGTTAGATTCGCGGTTTAAAATTCAAATTAAAATGCTAAACCGCTAAGGGGGGAGTGTTGTAGGCGATTCCCCTTTTAGCCACAGACTATGTACATACAGGTTAAGGACACACTAGGTTAAGTTAGGGACATTAGGTTTACTCTCTAGATTAAGACACTGTAGCGTGTCCGTCGCGGTAGATAGGGATATTTAGGATTAGGAGCAGGTGTAACAACCTGTGGAGCGCGGAAGCGCTTCGCTCACAAGGCGCGGATGTGCAAATTAATGAACTATTAATGATTCAGTTTATCTGGTCTTTAATATTTTGAAGTTCAACTTTAACAGATCTTATGAGCTTTAAAAAACTGCTGTGCGAGAACGATCAAGCGACAAAATCATTCTGCACGTTCTACCGTTTGGCGGAGGAGATCTTCGCGCGTTGTCGGTCGATGCCCCTTCCTTGGTGGATCCTGGATCCTCCCTCAGGATCATCCCTCGTCCAATGGTGGAGGAGTCCACTCTGTCCTGTGTAGGCCCCTTCTCCTGGCCATGGTCCACCCTCAGGCGCGTGGAAGTGGAGGCGCTCCGCCAAGACGCTAGAACGTTGCAGCGCACATGTGCTACGAGAAAGCGTGGGACCCAGAGAAATTAGGAAACGACAAGACCTTTTACTTGCCAAAGCAACTCTTGAGGAAATTTACGACCTTCTTAGAGTGCATGAAAAGACAGGATATCGAAAAAGACTTCGTAACCCTTAAGGACCGTTCGTGACTTGGTCGAAAACAACGAATTAGCTATGGTCTATCATAAATTAGTTTTTTAGGAATTTTCAAAGTGAAACTATTCCATTCTCTGGACTTCCGGCCTTCTCTCAGCTCTATCACCCACGTCGAGGGGTTTACAATTTACTCTTTGTCTATTTATATAAGGATACGCATAGACGATGTTTGAATTTCGCTCTTAATTTATGACCATCGATACAAAAGGTCCTCGAAGAACATTCGAAAGATATCGATACAATAGACTATCGATAAATATTCCCATGGCAGTGTCGCCACACCACTCTAAACATATTCACGTGATAACTTTTCACGTTACACCTTCCCCCTTATACAAAAAGGTGTTTACAAAAAAAAACAGCTTTTTCATTCATAACATATCTTCCTATTAACGTGAAAGTAAGTCTGTATTTAGTAGTTCATTCAATGTCACTCATCGTACAATCTTCAATAGTCCATTCAATAGCTCGTAGCTTCGCACACATCATAATCCGTATACGTAAACGTACAACAAATAATAATTCCTCCATATATTGTCAATAGTCTCTGGATTATTCATAAACCGTAATATTAATAGAACATAGGCACAAGCTTACAAGGCATTCAACGATACGCATAAATTTAATTCAGACTTTGGTAGAATCGTCCAGCCGTATACACGCCAATTTTAATTTATTGGTATGTACTATTTTACATTTATTTCCTTTTAATTTTAATTCCGCTGTTAAGTCACCAAACATTCGACTTATTTTATACGGACCCAGCCAGTCGCAATCAAATTCGGAAGTTCTAGGCTCTTTAAGTAAATATACCATGTCGCCTACATTAAATTTACATGGGTTTAATCTTTGATCGTAGTAACCCTTGTTTTTCTGTTTTGCTTTTTCCAGATTTCGTGCAGCCATAGTCTGTGTGGTGGTAATTTTAGTAAAAAGCTCATTAAAATGCTGTGCAAAGGTTCGAGGCGTTTGCCCCTTGGCAAATTTAGAAGGTACGTTGGCTTTAACACCAAAAACCAATTCATGAGGGGTAAACCAGTGTTCTCATGTACAGAAGTATTGTACGAAAAAAATGAAAAAACGTATCCAATCGTCCCAATCCGTCTTTGTGCAATAGTGCTTGAGATAATTAATAAAACTACGGTGTGCCCTATGAAGAATATCCCTGATAATTTAAGGTCAACTACTCGACTTCGGTGGAACTACAACTTTACCAACACACAAGGTAACAATATATTTCAGAAATATTGAATCTATCCGGATGTATTCTAAATGTTGAAGCCTCCTAGGACTTAAAGCCATGCGAGACATTGAAATGCTGTTTTAACGGGAGCATGCATAATTGCTGCAAACATACTTTTATCACAAGTTCTAGCCACGCCACGGAGGCTTTGAAGATCCTTCACCATTCGCTTTCCTCTCTTTTGTTACACAGTTTCAAATTACGATCAGGGGTACCGAAATGCTGCATTGATTGTAAACAACCATTTTTATCTTTGAGCGGAACGTTCCTTTACTCGTTAGATTTGTCTTGTCACGTGTGTATTCGCTTTTTCGACGCTTTTTAACCATTTAACTTGTTTAGCGAAGCTAAACGCACAGACAGACAAAAAAAAGGAACAGCATCGCGCGTCAAACAGCGACGACCCATCTGAAGTGATCTTTCATTTATACACCGTTTGTAAACAGAGAGACATAAAGCGCGGGGAATCATTCGAAACCCTGGGGCTATTCGAGCTTGCATTTCAGCAAATTATCATCTCAAACATTTCACTCGGTTGCTTTTTCTAAGTTTATAGGAGAGCTTCTTTATGACTTATAAAATAAAAGAAGAGGCGTAAAATGAATAAGATTATCGCGTCTCATAAAAAGATTATCCTCTGCATGATGTATAACAGGTAAAAAGGAAGGATCTACCGTAGGTCTATTCATTTCATTATCCAAATTATTAATCAATATTGTTCTTTTACTATTTTCACCGCTCTTGACATTATTAAGATCTATAATCCTTATCTTTTTCTTTACAGAAACCGTTAACGAGGTCACAATCTCTTTGGGAATCCCAGCCAACTTGTCCACGCTGCCTGGTCTCTCTGCCAAGGCATTCCACAATATCAACCCTAGAACCATGCAAGCATGTACCCATGCGCGCTGGGCATTGTTCAGGTAGAGCGCGCAAATGCACGTTGGTCTGCCCGACATAGCACGAATCATGGCACGCTGGGCAAATAAATGGCCTGTTTGGTTGGAAACATTTCACCGAGCCGCACCCGCATGTACGTCCGAGGTGGATTTCACGGTGGGTCCAGCACATCCACTAGCTGCGACCTCATTCTCACACTCTCACCCGAAACCACTGTTCGAGGCGAGGACAAAATCACACAATCACGGGGATCACACCCCTGCGCTGGCACAAGCTGCACCGGGACCACACAGGCACCCTCATGGAATGATCCCTTCCGAGATTTAAATAAACTTTTTGATGACACAGCTTCCGTATACAAAGTTCCTTGCTCCTTGTTGGTGACCTCGTTTTGTTTAGCCGCTGCCTTCCCGCGCGCCAGGAATGCAGAGGTCACTAGCGATTCATTATAAACGAACTGCATTTCATTCATCCCGGCCGGTTCAGAGCCTGCAACTGGTGTTCCACCTGCGCAGGCAAGCACCCTTTCCAGACACCGCGAACCGGGATTGGAATCCATGCTAGACCGTACGGTAAATGGTAGAGGATCTGAATTTATACAGGTGTCTGCAGGGTTCCGTGAAAGTGCGTCGGCATTGGCGTTAACCTTTCCAGATTTATACACTACAGTATAATCATACTCATTCAGTCTAATACGCCACCTCACAATTTTAGACGTTGGATCCTTGACACTGTGTAGCCAAACTAAGAGTCTATGGTCAGCGAACAACGTAAATTATCGACCATAAAGGTAGGGTCGAAAATATTCCATTCCAAACAAAACTGCTAACAATTCCTTCTCGATTTCAAAGGATTTCCTTGATTTTCAGAAATTGAAGGAAACTGGTGGTCACGATTCGAATTTATGAAGCGACGATCCCGGCGCACCTGACAATCCGCAGAAATATGCCCGGCCTTTCCACAGGTAACACATTTGCGGTTGCGCGTTTTCGCGATTAGAACTCTAGAATTCGTATCAGAAACGTTGGTGTTCTGTGAATTCCGCGATGAATTCACCTGAGTTTCAATTTTTGACGCTAATTTAATCGCTGCTCTTAAATCTTTAACATCATCGTTAGACAGAATACTCGCGACAACATCGTTTCCCAGTCCCCCTAAAAATCCTGCCACCGCGCTCGTCATAAGTAATTTTTTAATGCCCCCAAATTCCTCTGAACTCAAATCTTCTTTCGCCCCCTGTACCCCACGATCTAAAATATCGTTTACTCGGAACCCGTATTCCTCGATCGATTCGCTTTCACGACGGCGTACGGTCTTCAACTCATTTTGAGTATCATTTAGATTAAAACTTTGGGCGAACGTGGATTTAATCAGGGCTATCAACTCCTCCACAGTTTCCGGTTCGTCATCACCCACTATACCCCTGTAAACCCGGTGTTGCATTCGATTCCGAATTATAGCGAGCAAAAGTGTTTTGTCCTCGGTTTTTGCTAAGGTGTCGGCAAGCCTACATTGGGCAATAAAATGGTTTACCTGGGACGGCTTTCCATCAAAATGAGGAATAAAACTTTTTACTACATTGTATTGGGTGCCCGTAAAGGTTTTTGAAAGTTTAGGCGATGACGTGACCGCGTCCCTAGTCATACTGTCCTTGGAAGGTTGTAATGACTCTAAATTTAAGGTATTTGTCTGATGTTCATTCGCATCTGAAGAGAAATTCAAAACATTAGAAGGTAATGGCCTAGGTGGAATCATTAGCGTGTTATTTGCCGTGCTACTAGAAGGAACAGATACACCGCCCGGCTCACCCCAACTCTGCATCGTGGACTGGGCAGGTACAAGAGATGACTCTTGTAATCGGGGTTCAAATCTTCCAATTGAAGAAGAAGACTCTCTACTAGGAGATTCTATCGAGCTTTCCTCCACAAATATGACGCTATCACCACGCAGACTATTTTTGCGACCCTTCCTCCTTCTGGCCCTTACTAGTTTCGTTGAAAACGGCGGCATCTTATCGAATTAGGACTAACGGTTACAACTAATATTCTATAGTCTATTTGCTTATATTCTAGACTTACAGTTTTGTTGCACGACAAATTAATAATCCGCAAGAAGTCACTTAACGTTTTTCGTTTAACTTGTTGCTTCTTCCACAGGTGTATAGCTTTGTCTGTCGATGACCCGTTGATCCGGATGACCTCGGCTTACGGGAAGAACCCTCAATACTCCTGCTCCATGGTCCCCAAATTCAACAACAGGTACTCCAGCTCAATGGTCCCCAATTCGGCAGCAGGTACTCCAGTAAAATTTGTCCGCAATCAGCTGCGTCAGGTAGGCCTCAGCTCCGTGAACAGTCCGCTCAGGTCTCGTGATTTTATTTTATCCTCTCTTATGCTCCAGGAATGATGCAACGATGACGTGGACGAGGTGCGCGTGATTTCGGTGGATGGCTTGCACGGCAGCCGAAATCACCTGTCTCCGGTATTTACCCTTCGCTCTTGGGAGCGAACCCAAGAGGGAGAAGTTGCACTAAACTTTGTCCACTTATTAAATATATAACAGTTCAATAAAATAGTTTGTAGAATGTTTAATTGACCGTTTAATACACACCCGCGAGCCGATAAAGTAATTTAAGTGTACATAAGTTCGTCACAATCACTTTATTTAACTATTCAGTTATTTCACTGTTTTTAAATTGTTTCCTCCGAATTGTCACACTTTTACACTGTCACCTTTGAATGTTTATCCCCACCTTTAAACTATCCCTTTTCAAATCTATCCCACCGCTGTCACCAAATATGTAGTGTGTCACAGCCGACTCTAGTACTAGCCATGCTGAACAACGTGGCAACACCGCTCACGTGACAATCGGGAGTCCTATTTTCAAAAACAGAGTCCTGTGCTCGGAATTGTAATTAACGTCTTTTTTAATTAAAAGCTGTAGTAATATACACTATTTTGTGTTAATTATGTATAAACAATATATAAACGTTGCAACTATGGCAAATAGAAGTGATGTGGTAGTATAAAATTGTTATAAATGTGATATATATTTTGTGTACTCTCAAAGTAGTTTGGTGTTGTGAAGCATGATATTTGAAATATTTACAGTGGTTTCAAGAAAATTTAGGTATGAAGCAAAATGAAACCATCTTTGGATCAAATTGAAACATTTAAGAATTGATAAACGTGTATATAAGTTAATAAAAACCTTGAAACAAGCGAAATTATTGGAACGAAACCAAAGAGGTTATGTGAAGTCCAGAGAGTAGTCGGGAGTCTGACGACGTTGATTGGCTGAGAGTCTGGGAGTCCGGGAGGCAGATAGAGTAGGGTAGGTGTTGATATATTCAGACCGGACTCCCGCGGTGTTGCCATTTTTACTTCAGCACGGCTAGTACTAGAGTCGGCTGTGAGCGTGTCCGTCGCGGTAGATAGGGATATTTAGGATTAGGAGCAGGTGTAACAACCTGTGGAGCGCGGATGCGCTTCGCTCACAAGGCGCGGATGTGCAAATTAATGAACTATTAATGATTCAGTTTATCTGGTCTTTAATATTTTGAAGTTCAACTTTAACAGATCTTATGAGCTTTAAAAAACTGCTGTGCGAGAACGATCAAGCGACAAAATCATTCTGCACGTTCTACCGTTTGGCGGAGGAGATCTTCGCGCGTTGTCGGTCGATGCCCCTTCCTTGGTGGATCCTGGATCCTCCCTCAGGATCATCCCTCGTCCAATGGTGGAGGAGTCCACTCTGTCCTGTGTGGGCCCCTTCTCCTGGCCATGGTCCACCCTCAGGCGCGTGGAAGTGGAGGCGCTCCGCCAAGACGCTAGAACGTTGCAGCGCACATGTGCTACGAGAAAGCGTGGGACCCAGAGAAATTAGGAAACGACAAGACCTTGTACTTGCCAAAGCAACTCTTGAGGAAATTTACGACCTTCTTAGAGTGCATGAAAAGACAGGATATCGAAAAAGACTTCGTAACCCTTAAGGACCGTTCGTGACTTGGTCGAAAACAACGAATTAGCTATGATCTATCATAAATTAGTTTTTTAGGAATTTTCAAAGTGAAACTATTCCATTCTCTGGACTTCCGGCCTTCTCTCAGCTCTATCACCCACGTCGAGGGGTTTACAATTTACTCTTTGTCTATTTATATAAGGATACGCATAGACGATGTTTGAATTTCGCTCTTAATTTATGACCATCGATACAAAAGGTCCTCGAAGAACATTCGAAAGATATCGATACAATAGACTATCGATAAATATTCCCATGGCAGTGTCGCCACACCACTCTAAACATATTCACGTGATAACGTTTCACGTTACAACACAGTGTAACAAACGCTCAAAGAAAAAAGACTGAATAGTTAGCTAGTTCGAATGTAACGGTCGACAGAGAAATACATACATATATTTTACCAAACCAAGAATCAGCGTCCGCGTTATTACTGAACCATCGAACGCCACAACGCCCTCGATCCTCGCGCCATCTAGCGGTCACAGAAGGAAGCAAACCTTCCAACCGCGCCCTCTTTTCTAGGGTGCTCGGGGCCTGACGCCCTCGCTTCAACGCACCTCCATTTTTCCTACATCACTCTGTTCTTTACCGTCTACGCGATCGGAAGTAAGACACGCGTCTTTCCTACTTCCATCGCCATCTTAGATATCGCGAGTCTTTGTTAAATAAAAAGTATATCTCACCATAATCGCCTAATCTTGTGTCTTATTTATTCATTGACAATAGTGTGGCGCCCGCGCAATCGTGACTCGCGTGGCCCCTAAAGATGTTTATGATACCTCTCCCTTAACGGTTTCGACTTTCTATGTTCCTATAACTACGCAGTTTCGACAAGGCAATCGTCCCAAGGAGGGTTACTTGTATTATTTGAAAGTATTGAGGGGTGTCCTCCCATTTAATGCGGCCCTGGGCCGGCCGAGTTCGTCCGAGCGTTACCGGGCGAACTCATTCGGGTTGCGCGAGACCGGTAAAAGCGTGCGAGTTAGTCGCGATCTGTCTGTCGCTCAAGAGTAACGTTCTTGTCTAATTATACGTTGAATAAACAATAGTGCATCGAACAATCGAGATACTCATTCGTCTCCAGATCTGTCCTCTCCCTGTCCGGTCAATATATACAGTCTGCGTTATCAGAAAGGAATTAAATATAGCCTCCTTCGTGTACATTAGCGGTTAAATTATTCAAAACTATTAGAAAGAAAATAGAAATAGATCTTTGCCAAGGTCGGATTATTGAAAATAATCCGGACGTAATATTTTCGCAATTTAAGAACGACTATTCTTAATAATATGTGGTGTATGTGCGTGAGCTAAGTGGTCGCATGAGTGCGACGAGTACATGGTACGAATGACGAGTGACTGTTTAAGCTAAGGTTTGAGTGTCGCGCCGAAAAGCCCATAAACAATATAGAGATGGGCTAAGCGGGGTGCGGTGTGTATGAGAGAGGGTGGATCTAGCCGATGGTTTTTCCGGCAGAGAGTTTCTGCGAGTCATAGCGAGAGGTTGACTGACCGTAAGAGGATTGCGAGTGGTATTGTGAGCGGCGATACGGCGTTACCGATATTGTCATTGTGTATCGATTTAACCAAACTTTTAATAAATTCTTTTAACCCTCGCAGTACGGGAACGGGGTCTCCGGAAACACGTCCCGGTGTGAGTCACGAGAGACCCCGTTAGCGGCCCTCGACGGACCGTACCCCGAGGGTTAATTAGAAATAAGCTAATGCTTATTTCCTACAAATATAATGCAGAATGTATGTCGTTAAAATAATTGTAGTGGCATTTTCAGGATCAGCTATGAGTTTTCTACAATAAACTCTGAAGGTTTGTGATAAAATCCCGAATGCACACTCGATTAATCTTCTTCCTCTACATAATCGATAATTAAATATTCTTTTTTTAATATCTTCTATACTTTTTGATCTCAGATAAGGCCGCATTAAATATTTCTTTAATGGAAATGCTTCATCACCTAATATCACATAAGGTGCTATTGTCAGCGGAGAATCCTCGGGAACATTCAATTTGCAACTTTGCAAACTTTTTCCAAAAGCAGAGTTCGCGAAAATACCATCATTATTTTTTAACCGACTTCGAAAAAGGAGGAGGTTACTCAATTCGATCAGTTATATTTACAGCAGTAAATTTATAATTTGCATCTACTAATGCCAAAAGTACAATCGAAAAAGACTTTTTATAATTGACTATCAGATCGAGAGCCGCTCGAAAGTGGCATAGCAGACCGGGACAGAACCGATAGTGTGTATCCAGCCTTGTCATCCTCTCGCCGTGACACCGCACGCAAAAAAAACTACTCGCATCGCTCGTCGTCCAGTGTGAATTCCGAACGCGGAAGAAGATCCTCCACCTCCCAGATCTGCTGCAGATGTTGCCACAAATCGACGGCACCTCTGCAATTGAACATGCGTATTGTCCTCGTGGTTTCGTCTGTAGAAGGCGACGCATCCATATGTTTCAAAATGATCCACCTGAACACGATGTTCTGGGCGACAGACTCCTCGAGTCCTTCAGCGCATCAGATTTGAAGCCATTAGCACCAAATCCTTCGGGTGCAGCCAGCCAGAAAGATCAAGGGGAGACCCGGTCGCATAAGAAAACAATTTCGGGAGTATGAACACCGAAATCATCGTTTTCTTGTTCTTTTTTTTCGATACGGGAGGTACACAGTGACGGTGATTTACGAACGTGCCCCTCTCACGTGCGCGTTTCTGGCCCCGGTAACCAACATGGATGTCGGCTGCTTTGGAATTTGTACGACTTGTAACAGGGATTCGGAGGCGAAGGTCGCCGACTCCTTTTGATGGGTATTCTTGCTGTGGCATGCATAATTACCGAATACCCGTTTCATAACTTACGAATATTGCAGTTGAGAACAGTCTTACTGTAAGGAGCTGGAAAGATTTCATCGGAGGCGGTACAGAAGCAAGGGGAATTCCCCGCGCAAGCTGGTTAGCTCTCTAGTTTTACACAAGCCTAATTAATAGATGTGACGGCTTCAGCCAATAGTACAGAGCTAAGGTGGGGCACGATCAATCAGACCAGCGTAGCGTTCCCTGCGAATGAAATCTTTGTAGCTTCCCACAGTACTTACGCATGTCGCATCATCCCTAAAGGGCTAATGACATAGCTTGACACAGTAGCATGGGACACTGTCGAAGATCTTTTAGAATTATAAGAACTTACGGAAGATTTTCCTACATTCCACAATTTTGTACATACGTTATACGCCCTGTCTGCATATAAAAAGAAGCATAACAACTTCAAAATAAAAAAATGTTTACTTCATAATTTTTTACTTTTATTAAAAAAAATATTTTATAATAACAAATGAAATATTTATTGCTATACATCAATTATTATAAATCAAGTACAAACACACAAATAAACAATGTAAAATAAATTTACTTTTATACTTTGCAAATTATTACTATTGTAATATAAAAATATTTACACAATTTTTTTTTAAATAAATACAACACAATAAAATAAATTCGAAATAAAATATTCATAACAAATGTTTTGTAATGGTTTCATAGCATAGAAAGGTAATAATAATTCTTTATAAAATATCTAAGTTCTTGTTATTATTTGCAAAAAATCTTTTTTCCCTACAATGTTCATTAATTTTCTTAATAATTGTGTTCCTCCGATAGATATGTATATTTTTTACTAAATAAAAAATTTCACACAAAAACTATCTATTAAATCTATTTCATGATACGTAATTAATATTTATTATTTCAGTTACTTGTGTATAATATAAAATATCTACATTCTTATTAAAGAAGATCAAATGAAATTAATAGTTTGAGTATTTTATAAAGAAGGTTAATTATTGATATACTCATGGTATAAAAATATCTATTTTTACTATAGATTTAAAGTATTTAAATATATTTACAAAAATTCACTTAGTCACACTTCATAAAAAAAGCAAGTATCATTGATTAAAGTACTATTATCCTTCTTGTCATGTTACATAATTCATTGGAGACTGTCATTGTGTGTGCATACAATTCAAATTTATATACTTCTGACATATAATTTCTTTTCCTTTTGATTGATAGATATGAATTTTGTAAAAGAGTTTCATAACAGTTAACGCTTCCATTAATTTAGATCGTTTCGTTTCGACTTTGAACTTATACTATGGTGTATTGTTTATATATATGTATATTATACAGTTTTGTATTTAATTGTATTGACTCTTACTTCTTCTACTATTTCATGTTATTAAATATGACAGAACTGATAATCTTCGTAATACAGATCACAAAAATGTATACGTTTAAAATTATTTCAGAGAGAAATGAAAAAATAAAGGATTGGACAAAACAGAAACAAATTTTAAACTAAGATATACAACAGTCAGGAATAAAAAATACTTATTGGCTTATTTTTAAATAATGTACAATTGTTTTTGTGATTATGTTTAGTTTGCAATTATTATCTCTTATATATCATAATACGACAGTTTTATTTTACAGATCTACATTTTATACAAATTGCTTAAGCATTGTGATATTTAGGTTCTTTTGCACTTCATTGTTTTTTTTTTCATATTTCTTCTATTTCTTTAAAATCTCTGTAATTTACAAGTCAAATATACAAGAAGAATTGTCAATTATTTTTGCATATCACTTTCAAAATTTTTTATATACTATTAAACTGTGCGTACAAAGAGAACTGTAAAATTCTATCAATTTTAATATTAATTTATTTTTTGCTCAAGTAAACAAAAAATGTATAACTTACTATAAATTGAATTGTACGTAAAAATGTAAATAGTGCCCTTTGTACGCGAAGTTAAATTTGAAGGAGGGATCTACAGTAATTATTTGTTACATTCTTTCTATCCAGAAATTCTTTTATATCACAAATATTAATATTTTAATTGTTTATCTAAGACAGAATTTCGCTTCTCTTTTTTACATAATTGTATAAGATATAAGCGTTTTGTATACAATTCAATTTTATTAAACCTAATAAGCAATATTTTTGGTTACTTGTTCTTTGTTCTTTTCTTAAAAAACCTACACCTCGTGTAAAAATGATGAACCAAGTCCTGAGAAATTTAAATGAAGTCCAAATGTTTACAAGACATTCATTACTATACACAATATAGCAACCATCATATACAGAACAGATCAAATAAAGTGTTACAATAGTGATGTCCAGCGAAACTTTGGGCTTTTACCCATTTCATATTTTCTCCAGTATTAAAAAGAACGAAATAGATATTAGCTGTGGTTTTGAAGAAAATTTGTAGCACTTTACTTGGCTTCCCCTGGATATGTATGTACAAAGAATTATTTCCTTTATGTCAATTTAATTTTTGAATTGATATAATTAGTACTTAAAAATAAATTGTTAAACTTTGTTGTTGTTGTGTTATATAAATATATATAATAATGAATGAATGAATGAATGAACGAATGGACATACAGCATGTTTATGAATGTATATATATGCGTGTATGTTTAACATTTAAATTTCTCTGTGTTAATTCAAATTATGTTATGTACATTTTATGCTATAGAATATTTATATACAATTTTGCTGCAAATTATTACCTCTCTTTAATGCACAAATTATTACTATTATAAAAATTTGTCTATTTTTATGGTTTTAAAGAATTTGATGAAAATGATAATGACAATAATAACGAAGCATATGACTACAACAGTTTTAAATAAAAAACAATATAAAAACATTATAATAAATTTTGCATTAATATATGTAACGATTAATTTAACTTTTAAATGGTATATGTATTATTAAAATTGTAACCACTGGTTTCACAGTCAAAGTCATAGTCACATGTCAGAGAGAGATAGAAGTTAATATTGTTGGAATAAATGTACAATTTCTGAAAATATAATTTTGCATAACGGTAGGTATTAAAAATGTTTTCTTTTTAAGTAAACATGTGAGCTCGTTCTCCTTAAGTATGAAAATGATTTCAATGTGTAATTATATAATACAGATAAGGTAAAGGAATAAAGGAAAATATTTTATGAGCAAAAAATCTATTTATTTACACCTATATAAGATTTATATGTCATAATCTTCAAAAAAGTGATAGTGAAAATAAGTATCGTTACACCAAATGTACTTCCGCGTCATTAAGAACATAACTACACATGCTTACTAAAAATAATACAACTTAAAAAAAAAACTAAAAAAAAGTCTTGCAATATCATTGAAATTATATATAATAATATAATAATCATTTTCTTACATAAGAACTTTGTTATTTACATGTGATTTCTTACATTCACAGGAGAACACTTGTCTATTATATACTTTTTTTTATTAACACTTCTTATAAAAAGTGTGAGTGTTCAAATTCCATTCAATTGATTAATAATCGATTTCATTTTATATACACAAATACAATTATGGAAAAGTCTATGCTTTCGATTCTTGTCAAATTTTTAATTTGGTACAATATGCCCTGTACATGTTCCTGCGTACATGATGTTTTAGGGAAAACTTTTAACGTTTCAAAGTTGCATAAATATTAGTAAAAAAGCAAATACCTTCTTTTTATTAACATTGTTTCTCAGCAACGATTCAACTACCCTATAGGTAAATTTTTAATTTTAAATTAAAAAATCTTGCTTTTATATTAGGTCGAAAAGGCCACCGTTCAAGGCCACAGGCCAAGAAAATTAAATTTAATTAACGAGAAGAATCGTTATATTTCTTCGTTTCCGTTAATTCTCATTTTTTATTTGTAACTCTTAAAGACAATAATGGCATTCCTTTTTTTGGAACATCCTGTACATTGGAAGATATTTCTATCGAGCATATTGATATTTAAAGTAGGTAAAATTACCATACATTTGTCCTTTATACATCTGGAATTTATACTTTCACATTTCAACACACACTCATGCATTGAATAATACAAAGTGTGATTTCGAAAACGTTTCACAGTTGTTAAATGCTGAAAAATATAAATCAAGTATTAAATTTCATTCAAAGTGTAATTCTTACCAATAAAATAAAAAAAATTATATGTACATATATAATGAATAATAAAATATTTAAATATTAAATTCCTATTAATGTACAATACTGAACATAGGCTTCCCTAGCAAAGACGGCGTTTTAAAGCAGGCATGTCCAAAGTTGTCTGCTGATCGTGAGAAACATAGGCTGTCCCCCACCATGGTCCAACGTTATTCTGGGTAGGGGTTCGCAACACTGTACTGTGTAGAGATGAGATGTTGCGGAGGCTAAGGAATGCGGGTACGATTGGTCAGAGTTTTCTAGTCACGCCTAATGCACACGCATTCTAGACCGTCGAAACGCTCATACATACTAAGCCCGTCGCTTGCACACCGCAAAGTCAAACGGTGTGGGTGCGTGACAGACCAAGAAGGCACTCCTTAGCCTCCGCAACATTTCATCTCTGCACAGTACATACTACAAAAATGCTAGCCTGTCATGGTTGTCTCCTCAGCGTCACGCGGTTTCCTTGACAACTAAGTCATGCTACGCGATAGAACGAATGGAAAGGGAAGCCGGCGCGTGAGGTGCCCCTACGCTGGACAGGCTTGCTCTAGGGCAGGAAGATAAGGCGCAACTACTCACGTGTAGACGTTTAACTAGGCAAATTTTATTCAATATTTTTTGAAACTTTGAAATTTGAATTTTGAGATTTTTAAATTTGAAACATCGAAATTAAAATTTTAAGCTTTAAGATATAAATTTTGAAACTTCGAAATTCAACTTATATATATATATATATATCAATTTTTCTTAAATTATTGTTAATATTAATATATTCAAAATTATGACTTTGTGAATGATTTTTTATTAATTATTTATGCATTATTTACGTCTAATATTATAGCGAGTAGTAGGGCCGCCTCTTTCTCCTAGGGAAGCTTACCGTGCTCGGTACTGTACCTATGTACAAATACTTCTTTTAATGTACTTAATTTATAGACAAATATTATAGTAGTCTTTTAAAATAATTCTTCAGTCCTTCAAATTAAAACCATATGTCATAATACAAATTTATTTCTTCATAATTTCTACTGGCAAACTCACCGAAGTTTCATGTAACTCGATGAAGGTTACACTTCGGTATATACTGATTAGTATCCAAATGCCAACCTTTCGTTAACGCACAAGGATAATGAGTAACAGCTTTACAACCTCTTTTAACGCAGCCAATATTTGCTCCTGTTAAACCACAAGAGTCACATATAGACTTCGCTGCATCCCACACCGCCTCTTGCAAACCCGTTACTCTACCACCTGTAATATAAAATGTTACTGTTTAAAATGTTTCAACATCATACATTTTAATTGATTTAAATATGCGAAACAGTTGTTAGTTATTGTACCTGCCATGTATACTCCAGCTGCCCAAACGGCACACTGTTCATGAAGCCAAACTTCCCAACGCTGTTCCTCTCCAGGGAGTACAGTCATTCCAGTAAATATGGCATTGGTATTACTTTCAACGGAATTTCGTTTCTTTTTACCCATTTTTGCAGTAAATTGATCAGCTAATCCAGCGTACCTCAAACTTCTTTTATTCTTACTACCTTTTTTCTGTTCAGTAGTAATTTCTTGCTCGTCAGCTGAAAGAATTCCATCTTCTAAGCGTTCTTTACCAATTAAATATGGCCCAAATAAATCGCTTAAAACACCAGCTGGAACCTGTAATTCAATTAGTTATTTCTAATGCCATTTGCAATTCGTATTAATGATTAACTATAAAAATATATTATAACGTACAATGTAAGTTCCAGGAGCTATGTGAGGTCCAGCTAAATTAGGATGTGGTCGAGAAGGATCTCCAGGTATAACAGCGTGAGGACCTTGTTTACAAAATACACAGACCCAGGTAGAATCTGTTGTATGGGCGTCATAACGCGATGACAACGTTGAACTAAAAAGACCCACTTTACTGACTTTACCTGTGAAAAACAAGTCGTTATAGTCAAGTCAATATGTAGTTTCAAATCGTTAAATTATTTCTAAATAACTTAAAAGTATTTAGCAATTAAAAATATATACCTCTATAGTCTAAATCATTTTGATGACTGAGTCTCTTACTCCTTCCCGCACTACCATTTCCCACACTCTTCCGTTTCTCTTTACTTTTCTCTTCTTCTTCTTCCCTGGGTGCATTAACTACTTGAATACTTAAAGGACTATCTCTTGGACCTTCAACATGAACCACCGGTCCACGAGATCTGATAGAACTTGCATTTGATCCAGAATCGTACGTTACTTCTCTTACTCCGTCTACTTTAATATTTTTCTTTGTTTTCTTCGAAATATCTTGTTTCTTCGAACTTTTCGACAGTCTCCTTTTTTTTATGTCTTTCTGAGGCATATCATTATTGACAGTTCCAAAAATATTTTCAGAAGATCTGGAAATTTTTCGTTTCCCTCCTTGAACTTTAGTCCTTTTTCCCTTTTTTCCAGATAATTTTGTATCAACGGTGGACGAAACATCAGTAGGATTAACACTGTGTAATTCTTTTGTATGTAGAATATTATTTTCTAGATTCTCAGTTTTAGTTGTACTACCAGCTTGAAGCTGAGATTTTGCAAATTCTGTTGTTGGTTCCTCCTTTTTAACATCCGCTTCTGTCTCGACGATACCAGCAAACATTTTCTCAAGTTCTGATTCTACTTCGTTAAATGGATTTGTATTATTTACAACCTTTGGACTCGTTATTTTTACAAATTCAGTTGCATCGTCACTGGATTTTCTTCTAACCCTCTGATTCGAAGGAGTTGAACTAGGAGGTATATTGTCACTACTTCTGCGCCTTCTAATTGGTTGATTTTCTTCAATTCTTTCACTTACAGTTTCATCTACCTTTTCAGATATTCTATGATCTGCTGTAGCAATACGTTCATTATCTTCTAATTTTACAATTGGGATAGCACTTGCCAGTTCTTCTGGTGTTGATTCATTTATTCTAAGTTCTATTGGTTCTGTAGGTTCTAATTCCATATCTTCTACTTCTGTTTTCGAGTCTTTACTAAGTCGTACTGGCTTTTCGAGTTTCCTTTTTCTGCGCTGTTTAGTATTATCATTAGAATCATCATTACTGAATGTAGGAGATACAACTTCATCTTCTCTATTTGGAGATTTCGATTTTTGTCTATCAGGGGACATACTTTTAACACTTGACGTATCTTTCTCTTCTACTGGCATTACAATAACAGATCCAATATTTTCAGCACTTCCAAGCTTTTTATTTCCACCTTCTAATTTCTCTAAAAGAGAATCCACACCCTTTTTACCTCTTTTAGGTAAATTTTTAGGCGATCTCACACTTGCCTCTTCAATTTTCCGTTCCTGTTCCGAAGATAATTCACTTTTTGAACTATCTGTCACATCTTTATCCATTTTGGAGGTAAGATTCACGATAACAGGCAAAACATTTCTTGGCACTTGTGCAATAACACTTAATGTATCTTTACTTTTCGCGATATCAGGTTCTTTTTTTTCCGGAACTACCCTTTCGATCGTTACACTAGGTGGCAAATTTATAACTTTCTGCGTAAAATTATCTACATTCATTTCCTTTATCTTATCATGAACATTTGCCACACCCTTTAAATTGCTTTCAAAGTTTTTCACTGTTATTTTAGGCGTTGTAACTTCTTTGGTTGACAATGAAACTGGTTCACTAACAGAATTAGGTGTTGGAACTGATGAACTAATTCCACTGTCCGATGAAGTTTCTCCATTCAGAGGTATTGGAGGAGAAATTATATTTCCATTCCTACTACCCTTGTCTACGTTTCTTGCAGTCAGACTTATTGGAATATCCTGGGATATTCGCGAATAATTTTCAGGAATAATTTCTGACGTAGACGATAAATCTAGCGTGTTTTGTGAACTTGGTGAATTTCTATATTGATTTTGATTCTGCCTATTGTCTACCAGCATTTGTAAACTAAATAAAGGATTTCCTGGTGTATTGGCTGGAGTAACACTTTTTGATGGAACAGTCGGTGTGTGCCAGGTCGGAAGTGCTTGAGTATGTGCAAGTTGAGGTGTCAGTTGTGGTGCTCTAGCTATAGACGGATGCGTATAAAACCCAGCTGGACTTAACGCAGCACCTGACAAAGCTGTTGGATGAATGTTTAAACCTGAAACTGTTCAAATTATTTTCAGTCTATAAAGGAAAACAGCAATATTTCAAATTAGGAATTACATAAAATTTGAAAATTTACCTTGACCTTGTGTCATTGTAAGATGATTCCAGACTGTTTGAGGTGGAGGTGTACCAACCGGAGGTCGGCTATGCCCTGGATATTGTCCGGACATCTTGAAACCTTCCCAATTACTTAATAATATTGATTCACAAACACTTGCAGAACAATGTTCTTGTTTGTCTCAATAAAATTTATTAATATTTTTAATATTCAGAGACAAACATGTAAAAAGAGTTTTCTTGTCATATAGAAACAATGAAGTTTTATCATTCAAATATTTATTGAAAGCAAGATTAATTTCTTGCTTCAAGTATCCATTTATTATACAACTTGAATTTCTTTCAAAATTTTTACATATGTTGTATTTAGAAATTTTATTGATCTTTATGTTATAAGATAAATTACTTGGATCGAAAAATTCTAATAAACCATAGCTTATTTCCTTGTACTTTGTGTTATAGCACTCTTCTATATCAAAGGAATGATTTGTTCGGTCTAAAATGGCACAATTTTTTCAAGATATTTTTGTGTCTAAAAATCTGCACAGATTTCTTTTATCTTCACCTTCTGTATTACCTTACAAGTATTTTTTTACTAAATTAAATGACTTGTTTTTTGGGAAAGCACATATTTTTATAGTGCTTTAAAATGTTAGATAGAAGTTTGTATTATGCAATACTCTGTATAATGTTTGATTGTTTCACCCAATAGTGAAAACAATCAATAGTATTATAAGGATAAAGTTCTTCTTCTTCTTTTTCTTCTGTTTTAAATAAGTTTTTACTTTTACATATTTCAACAGCACTGATGCGACAGCTGTAACTTCGTTAATATTCAATAAATTAGTTGCTTTATTTATGCTATAATCACGCTGACAGGTACTACAACTTTACCAGATGTTTACCAATTGTTTTCTTCTGTGCATCAGAATTTATTACTTATCGTTTGTTGGTTATAAGAAGTTTATAAACTGATCAAAGTATATTGATTTGAAATTCAACACACTTATATTTTCCTTCTTGTGTCATGAACTGTATGTATTTGATACGCTATTATGTGTTAGCAACTCCCATATGTGATTCCACAACATGAAATCATTTGATAGCACCCATTTTGGGGCAACTCCAAATATACATGACCCTGCAAATGAAAATTGTAATTAACATGTCTAATTAAAAACCATAACTTTCTTATTTTATGATAAAATTCACAAATGAAAGCATATGCTAATGTAAGAAATTATATGAATAAGGAATGCTTTATACTTGAATACTTTATCACATAATAAAGCTATATAATTTTCTTTTTATTGATAATTATGTTTACCATTGTTGGGAATAATCCATATGTTTTGACAAATCACATCATAGAATGAATTTGAAATATTTATGTTTTGTTCATTATATTTTTTTTTTGCTGATAAAATTGATGATTTAATAAATTATATGAGTCAGTAGTTTTGACTTCTTCTTCTTGTAATACTTAACTACAATTATTTCCAGTTTCTGAAACTATTATAAAAAGATATGAAAAAAGGTTAATGATATCTTTAAAGTAATAAATAGCTAATTTATTGACATAAATACAAAATACTGAAACTTTGATTAACATAATAACAATTAAGTATAAAGGTAAAAATTTAAACTTATAATTACACAAGAATTTATAAGAATGTAAAAGTTTGTTATATTTATGGATATAACTAATTTAAATTATTTGTTTCTAAATTAAAAGAAGCAGTATTTTGTATGAAAACGTTTGTATGCATATAATTCATATATTTCAAAACAATGTAAATCCTTGTTGCAAGACTTGCAGTGTTTACATGTTTAAACAGTAATAAATAGATTTACATTTCATAATTTACAAATGTCAATAGTTTTAAAGCATTTGTAACTATAGTTTTTAAACAATGATATACATAAAGTCTATATAACAAAACGTTTAAGATCTATTAAAGAACATACGAATATAATGAATCAAATTCATAGTATTTGCCAGGATGTTAATGTTGATATGTTTAAAAATGTTTTACAGCACTACACTCTATTTTCAAATTGTTTAGTTGTAAATTTAATGTGACAATGTTGAAAAACATTGACAGAATAGCACTGAAATGAAAAATGAACGATTCCCACAGAACCACAACGTAAAAAATAACATTGTACGTATTTTGTAGTGATGTTACCCGCAAAAGTGAAGAGCATGCGAGTGTAACACTGTGTATCCCGATTTCCTCATTCGACGGCGTGGTAGCAGAACAGAGTTCGTGTACTTTTTCGTGAATTCTGATAACATGTAGTATGTACATATGTATTGCACCAGACACATATATACACTAAAAAGGACACAGTCACCAAGCCGCGCATGTACATCCGTAAAAAGTACACAGGAATACACATATACATACACATATCAATGACGCGAATTCATACGTATACACGCCTATGCACGCACAACGTGCAAAGCGTGGAAACAAGCATCCAACACCGTAAAACTATGCGTATACACATGCACTCACGTATACACATGCACTCCCGTATGCACATGCACGCACACACAGTCACACGCATACACACACACACACGTACACATATATATACACAGAGTAACGAAGCAGGGATGTAGTTTCCACACCTGAGAACACTATCGTTGATAACGCGCGAATAATATCTACTAACATATGAAATGTGCACTTATTTAAAAATTACAAGGAATTCAAGTGATCTTTAATCTTATGCCAAAATATTTGACACTCTAGATACTTGGATAATCGAAGTTTTCACTTTGAAAAACAGGATCTAGAATCGAAAGATTCTATAACGCACGAAATAGATGCGTTATATTGTACCGGCACGCATGCACGCACATATCATACACAATTCAGATAGTGCACACAACACCAACACCCCGACAAGACGTGCGACACGGACATGGGTACCTCTTTCTTTTGCGTAAATCGATGGGCACACTCGATTTCACTCAGTTTTTCCGATAGACTTTTAGTCACAAAATATGTCACTGACGGTTCCTAAAATCTCAGCATAGTATCGGGATTATCACGAAATACGCACCTCCCGCTCAGAGCCCTTGCCAGGGGCTGGCGAATTTAGGATTTTTCGTGAAAAAATCGTCAGGGCATCAACCAAAGCAGAATTTCAACAATGGTGGCCGCTAGCGAGCGAACCGTCTACAATGCTGACACCTCGCGGTGGCGACGCAAGTTATGTATCTGTTCCTTCTTCCTTTCTACATATTAAATTTTCTCACTCACACATTTTTCTATAATATATTCTGCAATATGTATCATTGTTATTTTATTAAGCAACAAATAAAATACTTCAGAATAACATCAGGTTAAAATTGTTTTAATTGAAATTTATTAAAATTGCTACAAACTGTTTCATATAAAGACAATTATATGTTACACAAATAATTATCAAAAATATAATGCTGTTAATATTAGCAGTATATACATTTCACTCTACATGTTATTTTTTCAATAAAGAAAATTATGAAATATGTACGTTTTACATTCACATGAAAGTATATTTTGTGCAATCTACAAAATCTCATGTAAAATAATTAGTATTTTCAGTACTGTTGGTATAATTAAATTATTATTTATTATATCATAATTGTTATTTACATGCAAATATAAAAGCGATTGAAAATTTATGGCAATTTTTAATATCATTCATATTGGTAAAATCTTTCATTGAAATTCTGCCCGTATATTTATTATACGTATAAAAGCGCGGGAAAACTCTGATTCAAAAAATTTAACACCATTATAACATTAATGGTGCAAATTTGTTACAGTTAATAATCACATTTAATACAGAAATTATATTTATTGTATTGTTTAATTTCTTTTATTTGTAAGTCTCATGTCTAAGTATTTGCAAAATATTTTAATATTTGTTTTAGGGAATATTCTACTATTCTTAATATTTTATTTCGTTATAAAATTTCAATGTAATTATATATTTCATAAAATAATTTAAAATTTTACATAAAAAGTTTCAAAATATAATAACATATTTGCACATAATGTGATAAAAACAAAAGGTTTTAAAATATGAATATGATAAACAGGCTCTAAAAAATTACATGTATCATCAAAGTGTAGTACATTACAAATGTACTAAAACAAAATTTTAACAATAAATGTTTGATTATACTATTTTGTTTCGCGAATAAATTAATATTTAATAAAAAATCATACAAATTCATTTTTAAATTTAATATTTAAAAATGATGTAAATATGTGAACGTTTATTAGTATACAAAATTCTTTGGATTGTTTTACGAATTATTCATAAACATTTTCCATTTTTGTTTGAAACAATGTATACATTTTTTTTAATAACATTCAATGAACACTGTATGTTATGCACGTAAGTACGTATATAACTTGAAATATTTACATAAATAGGAAAATATACTTTATTTATTTATAAGACAACTATCGATAGTTTAATTATTTACTTTCATTTGTTTAAACATTAGTTTCCCCATCATTCAGTTTTGATCTCGACGTGGCATTGTCAATCAAGCAAGTAGTAAGAGATTTCTTCCACTACATAGTCTAGTGTGCACGTGAGTGATATAATGAGTGAACGAGTGAGGATGTATATTGCGTTACAGATGACTTCTGCCAATTGCATAGCGTTAAAGAACGTCGTCTGCTCATTTTGACAGATATATTTTTAATTAAATGAGTAAATTTTTCTTAGTAATTGCGCCGAGCTTGTTTCAATTATGTTAGTTATTGTTGTTTAAATTATATCGGATATATTAATTATAAAAATATAAAATTATATGAAACTATTAAAAGGTGATAATATTATCGTCTGCTTGACAGCTGCACAAGTTCAGAAGTTAGCGCTAAAGCAGTAAGGATACAATATTTATATATATAGATATTCGACATTTTCATTCATAAGATAATTTTTAAAATAGTGAAATATATTGATAATTATATTGAATTTTTCAAAATATTATGTTGCTTATTTTACCTTTTGCTTAAAAATGGAGGCAGAAGTTAGAGTTAATGAACATTTTCATATTTTCAATCAGAATACGAGTTATTATGGATTCTAGCATGAATGATGTGCTGTTTCATAATTAATGTGAAATGCAAAGTAAATTTTGTAATAATATAGAAATGTACGCAAGTAAATGGCATTAACCTTTGATTTTGCATTTAATATAACTTTTTCTAAATTGTAGCATAACCCAATAAAAGCGTCGATAATTATTCCTTGACGAGTACATATCAAAGAAAATTAATTTGACACATAAGAAAATAAAGCACATTTGATACTGAATTGTTATTCTAAATATTAAATTAATAACTGCATCAAATATGAAAATGCTAACTCTATTAATATTTGCAGTGCAATTACTTACTAAATGTATTTATTTAAACATACAAAATATACAGATGATAAAATGTTAATAACATAAGGTATTATATATCTTAATAGAATAAAATATTTTCTAGTCTCTGTGATACAATAAAATAGTTAATATACCTAATAGTATAACTGCACAATATTCGAATAAAATTTATATACATATAAAACATTTGTTCTGCTAATGATTATAAATACTTAGATGAAAAGAGAGTGTTAGTGTAATAAAATTAATATAAAAACTCATGTTTTGACTCATTTAATAGTAATGCATAAGTATATAACATTTATCTTATTAAATTTTGTTAAATAATATATTTTACTTAACCAGTAACAAAATATTTTATTCATTAATAGTGAATAACTATATGGTGTTAAAAGTATATAATTATAAATACAATGGAGCAATGTGAAGATCATGATATATCCAATACAATAAATGTTACTAAGGCAAATATTTCACCTAAATCGAAACAAAAAAAAAAATCTCTTTGTCGCATGCTTTTGAATAAAAAAACTAAAGTGGGATGCTTGGAAACATCTTACAAAGATGGTGATTCAAACAAAAATTCTAAGATGGAAAATTCCCAATATGGATCTCATACTAGTACAAAACTTTCCTTATGTTGTGCAATGACTGAACGCAGCAGAACGCCGCCACAGAGTTTAACTATTAGCAGATTATCTCCAACTACATTAAGTCGTACATCTGTTAAATCTGAAGTAGCTTCTATTAATGGAAATAGTCACATGGATATAACAGTAGAAAAAGAAGAAATGTATGTAGCAAGTGGAACGCAAGATGTTCAAGAATTTATTACAGAAAGAAGTAATGTCAATGCAGGAAAAGAACAACGACGAAGTGCATTTGTTGAAGGTAAGGATTATCAGTATTTTGAATTATATTAAATTTAATTGAAATTTTTCTATCAAATTAAGTTCATATACAATACAGTAATATTAATTTTATGTAAAACAAAGTAAAACAGTATAAATATATAAACCATTTAAAATTACTTAAGTATGATTTTTTAACGTGTTTGAAAATGCCTTCTTTAATTTTCATTAAAATATTATTTTTATTAATTCAGTAATCTAGAAGTAACAATCTTGCATATCCTCGTATCTTATTGTACATTAATATAATTAAAAAATTACTTTCATTGTATAAGAAAATTATTTTTTAGTATCTTTTTAAATATTACTTTTTAAACAACTTCAATAATGAAAGGAAGAAATTCTTTTTAAAGAAATTATGTAAGTATTAAAAAAGTTGGAGTGGCAAACTAGAAAGAGAAATAAATCTGAATGTTTAATTTAAAGAACATACTAAGAATTAAACATCATAGAATAGATTGTGACAAAACTGATGTATTACAAATACAGTATGATGTAAATATTCAAATAAATTTTTTATAATAAAATTAATGTTGTTAAGAAGTCACCTGACAGAAAATGTTTTGAAGATAGTAGATGTCTGATGTAATTGAAAGTTATAATCAAATAATTGTTTATGTATTAATAGTGCATGCACAAATATTCCACATTAAAAACGAAAAAAGTAGAAATATATGCAGTGTGATAAATAAAAATGTAAAGAAAGAAAAAGAAAGATATGAATGTTGTTTCAATAAAACTCTAAATATGAAGATTGAAAAAAGAATTATTATATAGAAAATGTACAGAAAATGTACCAGAATAGTCAGATCCCTTTTTTCAAAGCATTAGATTCAGTACGTCTTGATAGTGAGTTTAAAAAACAAATGTGTAAGTTTCTATTTAAAAAAATGAATATATCATAAAAAAGTGGTGAAGATAGTGATTTCTCTACAGAGTCAACAGAAGATTCATTTGAGGAATCATCAGAAAATGGAAGCGAACGACTAAATGATTACGAAAGATATGATAAGAGTTTAAAGGATCAATATTTTACAAAAGGAAAATATATCACTTATTTCTTTTTGGAAATGGAACGGCATTTCTGCGATTCTACTGAAGTTTACAATATGATTCAGTATGATGAATCTAATACGACTGAAAAACCAGGGAACGAAGGTATAATACATAAGTTATATGTGTTGCTTAAAATTAGTTTCTGCTATGCTCTTCAAACATTTTCCGTTTTATTATTCCTTCTACTTGGCCACTTATAATGAAGTGCTGTTAAAAATAATATGTATCTTTATGAAAAAGTAGTAGATAACTTTATTGCAAATGGTTTATACTATGTAAGTATTACTTATTTGGTTAACAAAAAATTGGGCCATTTTCTTCTGATTTTGATGAAACTTTACTTTATACAGAATTGGTTGTACATAGAACAGTTAAAAGAAAGAAACATATCTTTTCTAGTGGCAACTACTCAAATGTAAGGGATGAAATCGGTGTTTGAAAATTGACCCTTTATCTTGGTACTATTTTGGAGAATATAAAAGATAAAAATATACTTTATTTTGTGAAGCTGTATGGTTCTTTATGTAAAATGTTATGGTCAAAATGATGTTTTAGAAATTGCAAATCACAGCATAACAGAAGTTTAAAGTTACCTTTGTATTGAAGTTTAATGATAATCATTAAAAATGGTATATATTTAATTTTGAATGAAACAACGTACTTGTAGTCATATATAATATGAAAGGACCCCGCACTAAACCACGTGAAATTGGTCCTCGGCGAAAATGGCTGAATTTGAAATATATGTTGTACCTTTTGGGTCACTGAACAAATGTTTCTCAGGCAAAATGTTAAAAAATGGACAGTTTCGTCCTTTCAACCCTTCAAAAGCCTGAGGTCAGACCAGCAAAGATATCACTTTCGGATCAATGCAGCTACCATTATAAAGGAACAATATGAATTTTTAGTAAACAAAATAATTAAAGAATAATTGTTTATGATAGTATTGTTTAAACAATTTGGAAATATCATTATTTGCAAGAACTGATGGGAAAGATGATGGGAAAAATTACAACTGATAGCGTTTTCCAGCGCATTATTTGTTTTAAAATAAGCAATAAACAAATAACTGATAGTGAAACTTATTCCAGTATACTGACCCTAAATTATGAAAAAACAAGTACTGTTAAACAGGTGTAATAAAAACACTAAATACCATTGATTCTGTTAAATAATGCGCTAGGAAAACGCTATCCGTTGTAATTTTTCCCATCAATTCTTGCAAATAATGACAATTTCAAATTGTTTAAACAGTACTGTCATAAACAATTATTCGTTAATTATTTTGTTCACTAAAAATTCATATTGTTCCTTTATAATGGTAGTCGCATTGATCCGAAAGTGATCTCTTTGCTGGTTCGATCTCAGGCTTTTGAAGGGTTGAAACGACGAAACTGTCCATTTTTTGACATTTTGCTTGAGAAACATTTCTTCAGTGACCCAAAAGGTACAACATATTTCAAATTCAGCCATTTTCGCCAAGGATCAATTTCACACGGTTTAGTGCGGGGTCCTTTCAGATATAGATAACACCAGCCTTTGGTATGATATGCAATCTAATGTAGCCTATTTGGAATTTTTTCTTTTAAAGTTGTCAAATACAAAAATTGTAGAGTTTAGACACACATATCTATTTGATAATGACTTTGACCCTCAGGTTAAATTTAGGGGTTATTTTAAAGTTAATTAAAAATGTTACTGAACTTGTAGAAAAGTCGCTCCTCTACCAATTTTGATGATTTTTGAATATGTTCTAGAATTCCATATTTTAAGCAATTTTTTTTCGGTTAATACAATCGATATCTCACCGCCCTCATCGATTACGCTCATTTTTTAATTCTAAGCAATTTTTTCCGGTGAACTTGTAGAAAAACTACTCCCCCTTCGGTTTTGATGATCTTTAAATATGTTGTAAAATTCGTCATTCTAAACAACTTTTTCCTTTGCTAAAATGTTGGTTAAGGCTTCATTTTCGAGTTATTAACAAAAAACACTGAACAATCCGAGCGCGTATAGTGCGCGGACTCAAGGACGGCAGTGTCGACTACGAAAACCGGGCCTGACGTAGGTCGCGAACGAACGGCTAGGCACCCCGTTGGAATAGCAAAATAAAAAAATTGAACTGGTTGAACGTTTTTAGTCGTTATTTGAAATAAAATAATTTTTAACAAAAAACAAATCCGACTTCGAAATGCACTAAAAAGTGTCAAATAATTTCTATTTCATTTATACCAATATTCCATAGCTATTAATAATATCTACTTAATCGTTAAATAGGATACCAAATACATTTCAAAGTTTTCGGAGACGGCGCAAAATTAAAAACTTTTAAATTAACCTACTACGCTGAAAGTAGATAATTGTCACTGGGAATCGAGGAAACACGTTCGGTAGAACAGCAATTTTCATGATCGGGCCAGTGAACTCCCCTCATTTATTGCACTTAGGTGTGAATCATAGGCGAGGTGTTTGCTCATCGAATGTCCAGAATCGACACAGTGATCTAGTGGGAATTATTTGCTTTCAACGTAGCAAGTTAATTTGGAAACGAATGGATAAGTTTCATTTAAATTGTTTTCAAATTTTGCATCATTAGTGTAGCCTTTAATTCAAACGTTTATTAATTATACCACTTCAAACATTTTTATTTGTTGTTTAAAATCCTTAGAATTTCCTTTTTTACATTATGACAGGCAATAAGAGATTAGGTTCCATATTCATTCTAAACAGCGACTAAAAATGTTCTACCAGTTCAGTATTTTTATTGTGCTATGCCAACGGGGTGCCAAGCCGTTCGTTCGCGACCAACGTCAGGCCCGGTTTTCGTACCCGACACTGCAGTCCCTGGGACTGCGCTTTATCTGCGTTCGGATTGGTCGGTGTTTTTTGTTATTAACTCGCAAACCAAGCCTTAACCAACAATTTGGCAAAGGAAAAAGTTGTTTAGAATCCCCTTAGCAATTATCCCTCTACGGCTGTCGAGGTAGTCGCCTGACACCCTGTAATTCCTACCAAATATGAAAGGTTTCATCGCGAACGATACATTCCTTGCAGAGTAACATGAAGGCGTAGATTTTTTGCTATAATAGTAGTTATTAACAAATTCAATAAATTTTTGCAAGTGAGATCATCGCGGATATACCTCCTACTAAATGTGAAAGTTTTCATCATAATCGATACATTCCCTGCAGCATAAACGCCAGAAGACATAAATGAAGTATTACGTTTTTTGCGACATAAGTCGTTAGGAATGAAAAAATACAAACTTTTTTTGCGAGACCAATCGGGAAATGTACTCTACAAGATGCAAAATTTTTTATTCGATTGGTCCATCCGTCTCGCGGTAATCGGTGAAAATTATAAGTCAAGCATTACGTTTTTTGCAAAAAAATCGTTAACAATGAAAAAATGCAAAATGTTTTTTTAACGGGACCAATCGGGAGACATACTCTACAAGATGCAAAATGTTTCGTTCCGATTGGTCCATCCATCTTGGAGTAATCGGCGAACATACATTTAGAAGAAATAGTCGTTAGGAATGAAAAAATGCAAAATATTTTTTTTAGTGGACCAATGAGGAGTTACACTCTACAGGACGCAAAAAGTTTCGTTCCGATTGGTCCATCCGTCTCTGAGTAATCGGCGAACGTACGTCGCATGTACATGACATAGTACGTTTTTTTGCAATAAAAAGCGTTCGGAATGGAAAAATGCAAAATGTTTTTTTAACGGGACCAATCGGGAGACATACTCTACCAGATGCAAAAGGTTTCGTTCCGATTGGTCCATCCGTCTCGGCGTAATCGGTGAACATACATAAAAAAAAAAAAAAAAAAAAAAAAAAAAATACATACACATCGAATTGAATATCCTCCTCCTTTTCGAAGTCGGATAAAAATAGAAATTCTAAGCATCCTAAACAACAAATAAAAATAATTGAAATGGAATAATTAATAAACGTTTGAATTGGAGGCTACGTTAATGATGAAAAATTTGAAAACAATTTAAATGAAACTTATCGATTTGTTTCTAAATTAACCTGCTACGCTGAAAGCAGATAATTGCCATTGGGTCTCTGTGTCGGCCCCAACCATTCGACGAGGAAACACGTTCGGTAGAACAGCTGATTTCATGGTCGGGCCATTGAACTCGTTTCATTTATTACACTTAGGTATGAATAATAGGCAAGGTGTTTTCTCGTCGAATGGTTGAGACCAACACAGTGACCCGGTGACAATTATCTGCTTTCAGCGTAGCAGATTAATTTAGGAATAAATCGATATATTTCATTTAAATTGTTTTCAAATTTTTCATCATTAACGTAGCCTCCAATTCAAACGTTTATTAATTATTCCATTTCAATCATTTTTATTTGTTGTTTAGAATGCTTAGAATTTCCTTTTTTACATTATGACAGGCGACAAGAGATTAGGTTCGAAGTAATTAGGTTAAGAAAGTTGCTTAAAATGACGAATTTTACAACATATTTGAAAATCATCAGAATCAGAGGGGGAGGACCTCATCGACAAGTTCACCATCCCTTTCTACGTTCACGCTTAGCTGGCGTCGCATGTAACCCGAGATTCGACATCTCGACTTTATATATAAACGAAATGCTTAGGTCCCAATTTTCTTGCACTTATCCAGGTTTTACTGTACAGTGAATTCTGTCTATAGTCTACAGGGTGATTTTCTCGCAGCCGGTGTTGTATTTCACACAGGTAGTTTATTTAAATAAACAAATGAAATACAGATGAAGTTTTATTGGATACAATATTCGTCGGTCGAGCGTAGACTCTACTTCTAAAACTGTTCGGCAAAATCTAAGGACGGAGGAAAACGTGTCGGGTATTTTATAGAATTGGAAAAATAGGAAAGTGGGAGTTACTTTGTGTCTAGTGGTCGGTAAGGGATGAGGTCAGGAGTCAGGGGGTCAAGGTTCGGAGCTGAGTAGTTCGGTTGAGTCATTAGAAGGAAAGATTTGGGATGTTTGTTGCTAAAATACGATGAGAAAACCGGGCTATTGAAATAAGATAAGATGGTGAGGAAGCCGGACTATTTAAGTATGATAGTGAATTGACTTGGTATACAACACCTTCCGCCATAAGATTGTTAACGGGAGGTTAACGATTAGGTTTTAGCATGATCACATATGTTATATATATAAAAAGAAAATAAAAAAATAAAAAAAAATTGACAAAAATTATGTTGGTTTGTAACACCTTCCGCCATAAAAATTACTAACGTAATTACGAGTAGTTGAATTACATAGATTTTGCATTAAAGATAATATAAAATAGTGTAGGAACATCGATTATGAATAGTATTAAATATCTATAAAATAATTTAAATAGTCTAATTATAAATAGAATGTAAATGATTGCGTTACATATATCGGATATGTATAAAATATATATATCTATCTTTCTTTTCTTTCCCTTTCTTTTTTTTTTTTTTTTTTTTTTTTTTTTTTTTTTTTTTTTTTTTATAAGATTAAATGATTGTTTTAGAGTATAGGAATTATGAGTAAAATAATATAAAATAATAAAAAGTATACAGGGACATCAATGATACATGTGTTTTTAGAGGGGAGTGGTACTTCTTCGCGTTCTTTGTCGTGACTGGACTCGAACTACAGGGGTTGTTTCTTCGTCTTCCGACAACTCAGGTATTGGGTTGATGACCACGGCTCGATCCCTTCTTGGTTGATAAGTGACTATCTCGTTGTTCGGCGTTGTAGATTGTCTTGAAGATGATGATGATGATGAATCGAAGATGCAGTTGACAAAGTTCTTGATTAATGGTGGGTTGATCTCTCCACGAATTGGATCTGTGGTCGAACAGCATAGTCGTTGTAACCAGCGGAGACATCCGAAATTTTTACAGCACTTTAGTAGCACAAATAGTACCAGAAGCGCTACAATTGTTCCAAGGGCAACAGTGTACCACCTAGTATGTGTTACTATGAATGGCTGATTTATTTGCTTAGTAATGATCTCATCAAATTCACCTAATTTCTTGTTGGCGTATTTGAGTTCTGTGAGATCGATGTTCGTAAGGTGTATCGGCTTTAAGGTAACCGATTCGATTGCCTCTAGATGAGGTGTCAGAATGCAACAGTCATCATCCAGAATGTTCATGCGTGGAACATAGTAGGTTGCATTTTTACTAATTTCGTGGGTGGCTTCAATCACAAAGAGACTAGTATATCCCTTGCAGCGAGGTTGAAGGTGAATGATTCCACTTCTCTGAAGAATCACATCTTCCATGTGATTTTGACCTTCTTCGCACATGACGGTTAGAGTAGTTGGCTCATGGAGGACGTAGATCCATTGGTTTTTTGCAATGTAATTCCAGGTTTCTATGGTTGCCTTGATTGTTTTCGTCGTACAGGTAGACGGAATTTTCTTTATGTGAGGAGACAGCAGCTCAATTTCACAGATTGCTTGACTTGTTGAAGCTGTAGTGTGCAGGTGATAGCAGACGTACTCCTCGTCTCGATATTCGTTACAGTTAGACAATTCATTAAGGAAGGTAAATTGTGATTTAGTTTGAGATAAAAGGAGATAACGATTCTGAGGGATAATATAAGATGAAAATTTTGAATCGTTGTGCTGGATTGGAAGAGGAATAAGTTCAAAGAGATCAAATTTCGTTCGTACGACTAAAGGAATTTGAAGTGCAAATATTATGTTATCGTTTGTGGAAATTACATGAAGTTGAATAAATTTATAAAAAACATGTATATTTTCCAAATTTGGTTTCATAATTAACTCATGTTCATTTTTATAATTTTTTAATTCTTCAAATAAGATCTTAGGAGTGATAATGAATGGTGAAACGATATTATGTTCAGCCAGATTAATAGCTTCTATATATTTTGAGAATTCTCGATTAATTTGACTTACTAGCATATTTAAAGTGGTAACCAGTTGGTTTACCGTAGATTCCATTTGTAAACGTGAAATATATGAATTAGTTTGAGCCGTAAATGAATTGATTATTTCTATATTTTCATTCATTGCTTTCTCTTGATTCTGAAGAAGATACAAGGAGCTGTTGAAGTTTTTAATAGTGTTAGTAATCACTTGGACTTGTGACTTAAGCAAAGTTTGTGTTTGCCTGTTATTATTTATTAATGTTTTGATGCTGTCTTCATAGAATTGGGCATCATCAGCGTCGGGAGTGCCAAAAGCCCATTTTAACAAATATGACATGCCATTTAGAAGGCCACGTCTTTTCCTGATAACCAATTTCTCAGTTAGTTGTTGAAGGATTTCACGTTTCGAATTGATTTCTAATACTTCTGCTTCGATTAATTGAATAGTGCGTTCACAATGAAAACTAGTATGACCTTTTCGAGTTGGATCTTGCAATGTCAAATTACAAATAGCTTTGGTTTTAACAAGATAGTTGTCGATAATCATAATTGCGTTATTTAGGTGAGTTTTATTCATATATGAAAGCAATGTAAGTTTCGAATTCGCAATTAGTACTGTTCCTTTTTTGTTATAAAAGATTCCGCTTGATTTCTCGAAAGGATGGTGAGAGAAAAAATGACTGCTGGCTAGGAGCGGAAGTAGAAGGAGGATTAGAATTGTCTGATTCATCTGAAAAATACGGTTTGAGTAAGTTAGTATGATATGTAACCAATTTTCGGCCAATTTGGATTTCAACAGTTTGATTAGGAAAGGTTCTAATAATCTTATAGGGTCCTTTAGCGTTGCTTGCAAGCTTCTTAGATAATCCTGGTGAAATTTGTTTATTTTCGATTGTAACGAGGTCGTTAACTTTAAATTTAATTGGATTGATTTTCTTATCATGGTATTCTTTACTACGTAGTTTTGAATCAATAAGATTTTCACGTGCCATTTGAAAGGATGTATTTAGTTTAAATTTGAGTGATCGAATATAATCATCGTAAGTATAGTGAAATTCTGGATTTTGCGTTATAGCTGAAGGCAAATAAGCCTTCTGTCCAAAAAGGAGTTCGTATGGCGTGTAACGGGTAGATTTGTGTACTGCTGTATTATAGCTAAACATCGCAAAAGTAACGTAAGTATCCCAGTCTGTTTGTTTCTGGTTTATGTAATGTTTTAGATAATCCTTTAGAGTAAGATGAGATCTCTCGAGAGCTCCATTCGTTTGAGGATGATAAGGTGTGGTTGAGATATGCTTTGTCTTAAAGAGGTTACTCATCTCTTTGACAAGATCTGACATAAACTCTGAACCTTGATCGGTCAAGAATGTTTGAGGGATACCAAAGTAAATGAAGATAAAGAGTAATTTTTCAACGATTGTTTGTGCTTCATGATTCGGAACTGCAAATGCAAATGAGTACTTTGTCAAGTCGTCTTGAGCTGTAATGATGAATCGATTGCCTAGTTCAGTCAAAGGGAGAGGTCCTACTACGTCGATAGCTAATTTTTGAAAAGGTTTTTCTGTTGTAGTAGTGATTTCCATGGGTTGTTTAGTAGGTCTAAAATTTGTTTTATTTAGTTGACAAGAGTGACATGTCTTAATGTAACTTCTAATGTCACTTTTCATTGTAGACCAGTGATATCTTTCTTTGACTCTAGAATAGGTACGATTAAAACCACAATGTCCAGATAGTTTACTGTCGTGGCATTCTTTAAGGATGATTCGAATTTCATCACGGTCTTTGGGGACAATTTTTTTTGTATTCAAAAATTTAATATTGTTGGAAGAAAAAATGAATTTAACCATTTCATTAAAAATTTCAGGTTTAATACCGCCTTGTTTTTTTGGTGGAACTAAAATAAAATCTTTTGCTTTGATTATATCTCGAAGCGTCATAAAACTTTGGAATAAATTACGATAATCGATTTTGTCATGATGTAAATTTTTAGGAAATAGAATTAGTAAAGTTTGTTTGTCATTTTGCAATTTATAAAATCCATTAGGGCTTGATGTTAGTGATGTTGTATCGAAATTTTCCGTTACGTAATCTGAATATTGATTTTCTTTATCTAAATCTTCAGACCATAAGAGTACTATTGTACCTTTTAGTTTCGGGAGGGGTGTTTCCTCTTTTGGAAATTCAATTACTTGCATATTGGTGTAATGGAATTTCGTAAAATCTTGGTACGTTTGACTGGCTTTATGTACATGAAATGTGGATTGAGTGATTTTGTTTGGATCAGGATGTAATCGCGATAAACCGTCTGCGTTAGAATTCACTCTTCCGGGTTTGTATTTTATTACGTACTTGTATTCGTTAAGGCGCAAGCGCCATCGGAGAAGTTTCGAAGAAGGATTTTTGCAGTTAAAAAGCCATTGGAGAGGCCTGTGATCTGAATAAATTGTAAATTCCCTGCCATAAAGATACGGTCGAAAGTGTTCGATTGTATTTATGATAGCTAGTAACTCCTTCTCTGTTGTGGAATAATTTTGCTCAGAGCTATTTAGAGTTCTTGAATAATAAGCTATAGGTAAATCCTTATTATTTTTTATTTGAGAGAGAACGCCGCCGATGCCTACGTTGGAGGCATCGCAAGTGACGACAAAAGGTTGAGTAAAATCGGGATACTGTAATAAGGGTTCAGTTGTTAAGATTGATTTTAACGTTTCGAAAGCGTGTTGCTGTTCCTGGGACCAAATAAATTTGGTGTCGTTTTTTAATAGCAATGTAATTGGTTTCGCGATTGTTGAAAAATTTGGAATAAATTTTCGATAGTACCCTGCCATACCGAGGAATGTTTTTATTTGTTTTAAAGTTTTTGGAGGGTCCATTTTTTGTATACATTCAATTTTCTGAGGGTTTGGTCTGACTCCGTCTTTAGTGATTATGTGTCCGAGATATTGACAGGATTCGCGTAAAAATTCGCACTTATCTGGTTGGAGTTTAAGATTATATTCACGGAATCTGTTAAAGACGTTACGTAATTTTGTATTATGATCAGAGAGGCTGGAACCGTAAATTACTACATCATCCAGATAGACAAAGCATTGTCTGAAGCTAAGTCCAGTCAAAATGTTGTTCATCATTCGTTGAAAAACGGAGGGAGCATTTTTAAGACCGAAGGGCATACGTGTATATTCAAAATGACCTTCTGGAGTCGAAAAAGCGGTTTTCGGAGCATCGTCTGGGTGCATGGGAATCTGGTGAAAGCCACTTGCTAAATCTAGTGTGGTAAAATACTGAGCATGCCCCAGTTGATCTAAGATATCTTCTATATAAGGAAGAGGGTAGGCGTCACCGATAGTTTTTTCATTGAGCTTTCTATAGTCAATGACAATTCGCCACTTTTGTTGACCAGAAGCGTCCGTTTTCTTGGGTACGACCCAAAGTGGGCTTGACCACGGGCTTGTGGAAGGTTTAATGATTCCCTGTGTAAGCATTTTTTCGATTTGTTTTGATACTTCATTTTTATGTACCTCGGGATACCTATAGGATTTCACTTGAACAGGAGTATTGTCTGTTAGTGGAATTTTTTTTATAGCTGCAGAGGTTGTAGTTAATGCGTCATGAGGGAGATGGAAAATGTCTTCGAATTCATGACATAATTTAATTATTGAATCTTTCTCTTCAGGGTTTAGATGATTAGTACGTAAATTTTCATTTAATAATTTAAGTCTTTCGTTCATATCTACTGGTTTATCAGAAGAATAAAAGATACGAGCTTGTTCAGAAAGACGTAGGAGTGGTAGTTTAGGTTTAGCGAATGTTTTCTTTTCCATAGATCGATTAATAATTGTGATTAAGGCTTCATTTTTGTTTATTACTTTTACTAGCGTGCTGGGGATAATTAATGATTCCTTTTGATCCAGCGTTTGGTTTAAGATTATTCCTTCCTTTAGATTAAGAGGATTTTCGATCGATACTTTGGCCACCATTTCAGTTCGTGGACTGATTGATATTAAAGACGTGTCTGATTGTTGAGTTGTATTACGTTGTAGAGGAATTGAAAACGGAATCGACTTGATTAAAATAGATGATTTTTGAAAATCGATTTTGCAATTTTGCGCGTCGAAAAAGTCTTGCCCTAAGAGACCATCGAAAGGAATACCCGTATTGGAATCGAGAACTTGAAATTTGCAATTAAATGAATATTTACGGACTGCTAAATTTAGTTCCGTTTCTCCGAGAGTTGCGATTGGCGCATTGACATTAATACCGTTAAGCATGATCGGTGCAGAGTTAGTAATTTTATAATTACCGAGACTCGATTTTTTAACTAAGGAGACAGACGCTCCAGTATCGACTAAAAATTTTAGGATTCCATCGGGGGAGATTGATGATGGAGATTCGAATAAGACGAATGTTAACTCGTTATTATTTATGTAAACGTTATGAAAAGTGAATGAATTAAAGAGTGTCGAAATGTTAGATTCTTCGTTATTCATTAGCGCATGCTCAGGAGGATTAGAGTTTTGTGTAGGAGGTTGATAATTCTGATTACTTAGATGAACGCTTGAGTGTTGCGTATTTTGAAGGTTTGATCTATTCCCGTTATTTTTATTGCGTCGAACGTTTGCAGCAAATCTTTTAATACATTCATCAATAGAATGGCCCATATTTTTACAATATCGACATTGAGTTTGGTTAATTGAACTGTGCGAATTTTGAGTTGACAATGAATTATTAGGTCGATTAAAGTTTTGCGACTGATTTGGATTTTTATAATAATTAGTTGAATTGTGCGAATTTTGAGTTGACAATGAGTTATTAGGTCGATTAAAGCTTTGCAACTGATTTGGATTTTTATAATAATTTTGGGGATTGTTTTGTCTGAAGGATGAATTTTGTTGAGTAAAATGGACTGGTTTAGAGTATCGAGATGTTGAAAGATTTGGTTTAGAGTTCTTTTGATAACAATTTTCACTTGCGTGATTTGTTCTGTTACAATAAGTGCACTGTGGAAAATTACCATAACGAATTCGAAGAGCCCTTTCTTCCGCTGTAGCGGCTGTAAAGGCTTGATTAATTGTTTGAAACTCTCTGTACCGAAGCATTTGTGAGATTTGTGGATGAGTATGGTAAATGAATCGGTTGAGGGTCATCTTAGTTATCATTGCGATACTGCCAGGTAAAAGATTTTCGTTTTGTTCTGACGTGTGAACGGCTGCGAGAATTCGAGATGAAAGATCTTCAATTCTTTGAAAAAATTGCGAAACGTTTTCATTTGGCTTTTGAACCATAGAATTTAGTTCCTCGAACAACTGATCAAGAGATTTTTTATCTTGATAAAGATTTAAAAGAAGCTCAGAAACTCCTTCCCAAGTCGTGAGATTGCAATGAATGTCTATTTGTTCCCGTGCTTTACCGGAAATACGACTTTTCACATAAAGTAATAGAGCAGCTTTTTGAGCTTCAGTGGCTAGTTCAAACACTCCGTCAACTTGCTTTACAAAACTACGGATTTGATATCGATCACCGTCAAATTTTTCCGGAATTAACTTAACTAAAAATGAGAGTTCGTACGTGATTTGTGGCCTCTGATCAACGTTAAGCATGATTACGTATGATTTAGGAGAGTTTGGAAGAATAGAAGGAAAAGAATTGTCTACACCGGCGAATATTTATCGAGCAGTACTTACTATGGAAAGTTTTTTGTCCGCAATTGGTGCTGGCGTTGCTAGGTCCAGTATTTTCAACCAGGTTGCAGGATTTCCTTCCGGTATGCTGTATCCTTTGTACTTCGTTTCGTTCGATGTCCAAGTTCTCAGCAACTTGAATGCTGCCACTCGGTTTACAGGATGGAGTTGCTAATTCCACTTTTGTTCACTGTATATAGAGTGCTGGACATCCCATCCTCGTCGCCAAAAATTATGTTGTATTTCACACAGGTAGTTTATTTAAATAAACAAATGAAATACAGATGAAGTTTTATTGGATACAATATTCGTCGGTCGAGCGTAGACTCTACTTCTAAAACTGTTCGGCAAAATCTAAGGACGGAGGAAAACGTGTCGGGTATTTTATAGAATTGGAAAAATAGGAAAGTGGGAGTTACTTTGTGTCTAGTGGTCGGTAAGGGATGAGGTCAGGAGTCAGGGGGTCAAGGTTCGGAGCTGAGTAGTTCGGTTGAGTCATTAGAAGGAAAGATTTGGGATGTTTGTTGCTAAAATACGATGAGAAAACCGGGCTATTGAAATAAGATAAGATGGTGAGGAAGCCGGACTATTTAAGTATGATAGTGAATTGACTTGGTATACAACACCGGACACAAAGGAACTGGCGACAATGAACCCCTTAACCGCACCATGGAGAGGTCCGTACACACACAGAGTCGACTCGGCCTGGACAGGTCCCCGCTGGCAGGTGACAATGCAGACCTCTTCTTAGTGCTGTCAAGAGGTTCATTGTCGCCAGTGTTCCTTTGTACCTGGTTGCGAGAAAATTGTGACCGTTGTTTGGTTACTGTTTCTGTAAACAGCGGCACTGTTCCCAGCTACCCCCTATATAACCGGTGGACCTGAAAATCAAACTTAACACATTTCAGTAATTTTGAACTGGATGCCTAACGGCGGCCGGCAACGCATGTCGATATTTAAAATTATTGAAATCAATTGAGTTTAATTTTCAAGCTTACCTGTTACATGGATGGTGGCCGGGCCACGTGGTGCTGTTGATAGAAACGATAGGTAAGTTAGGATTGCTTGCTGACGCAATCGCGGCCACGGACATATACGTATGTTAGCGAATTGCGTGGTCTGCGAGGTCAGATAAAACGACACGCCGTAACGTAACACAACAGTTTTATTCACAACAACGAAAACTATATACAGTAGTCACAAACAAGAAATACGCGTGATCACAGAATTGAAGAACGAACAATATATACAATGCTTACACTAAATTAGTACTGAATACGCGAGGATACTTATCATTATTATACGGCGCGGTCTGAATGATTCCGCGTCGCGCGGACTGAGAAGCGTGAACGATTCAAACTTGTATCTTGCATGTTAGAATAATTTTTAGTAGTACCCTCGATCAAGGTTCTGGGGTAAGCGCCATGCCGTTCCTCATGGTCCTCCTACCAGAAGATGCAAGATCTTCCCCACTCCGTGGCCAGATCCTTCTACTAGATCAACCTTATCTTTTTACACGTGCCATGCAGCACCATGACTTCGGGTGATCGGCCACACGCGCGTTCTTTCGAGAATCGGCAATCGAACTCTCTATCGCCGTTCCATAAACAAAACATCCGCGACTCTTAGAATTCGTCACACCTCAAGTATCAACTACCGCCGGCCCAAGTCCGATGACAGACATATGGCTCGGGGTATCGATAGCCTAAAGAATCCTAAGAAATCCTTGAAAAGCAGGTCAAAGCCCTAAATGCATTCACCCTGCCACGTGTCAACCCTTGCACACGTGCTGGCGCTAACACGGCTAAACTGACCTGCTTCAGGCTCTCGGGAAGCCAAAACTCAATGAAGAGTTCACAGAAGTATCCAAAAACACAAATCACAGACTAGCTGAAATTCAAACTCGAGGCAGTAACACAACTCCGTGCATTCCACTTACACCCTGTTGTCTCCGTTACCTCCGATTTCAACACAAAGCACAACTGCCTTACAACACACTTCAATAAAATCATAACGTCCTTTATTCCGTGCAATTCGTGTACCTTTCAAACGCCGTCCTTTGCACTATATCAAGCCCGTGGCCTTATCTCACCCATGATACAGATTTTGTCAAACTCGTAGCGTTACTATATTCCGTACACGACATTGACACCTTTCATCCGTTATCTCCACGATGACTACACCCACAAGTGCATCACCTCCAAATGACACCCGCAAGTGCCACCCGGCAGCATCGGTATTCATTAACACCTTGCAAAACAGGCGATGAATACAGTAAAACCTGGATAAATGCAACCAAGATTGGGACCCAGTGGTTGCATTTATCCAAGCGAGGTGTCGATTCTGGGCATTTAATGTTGCATTTATCCAAGCGAGGTGTCGATTCTGCGTCCGTACATATGTTTTGTATTCAGCCGACATGCCGATTCTGTGTCCGTACACATGTTTTGTATTCAGCCGACATGCCGATTCTGTGTCTGTACACATCTTTTATTCTATTCTTAATTCTATTACTATTGTTTATAAATATAACTCAAACTATATCATGTTTGGTGTCATTTTAATCAGAAAAATCTCACAAATGCGTTAGTAAAAGTTTCATTAAGAAAAAGTTAAAAATAAAAAAAAAAATGTATCGTTCAATTTGTATTAGTCACACCGATATTACGGTCGGATCATATTACACGGTTTTCTCGTTGAGCGGCTCGGTTCGTCTAGGGGGATCCCCCCAAGTGGAGGGGATAGCGATGTTGCACTTATCCAAGCATTCTTTCGTTGCATTTATCCAGGTTTTACTGTACTGGAGATTGGCATCTCCAACAGTGATGAATACTCAAAAGTATTACCACAAATCACTAACACGCATCAGCCAGACATCGTAACACTCACAAGCGCTCTCAACACATCAGCGTCTCCAGAGATCATAACGTTGGCGGCTCCATACAGCCATCTGCACCCTAATACAGTTACTCTCAAACGCAAACAACTCATTGTGTTCGAGTATCCATAGCACAACGACAAAGTGAGAAGATAGAGATTTCTAAGCAAAAGATATAAAAGGGAAAGGAATGAGGGAGACAAAACTATGTATTATTTCCCTCCTTTTTTTTTTTTTTTCAATAAACTTTCAAATATCTTGTACAGTATTGTAAACGTTACTTTACGGGATATTATCTTGTTAACATAAGATGACATTTTACAAAATATGAGGCTAACACGGCTCATTCGCGTTCTCTTCCTCGCTCACATCTATATCGTTATTACCCGACCACTCACCCTTCCACAAGCGCAATCGGTCTTTCGGCATAATCTATGGTCTGCCGCTTTTGCCCATTATTTCATACCGATCATTCGGTAGGGACTTAGAAATTACAAACGGTCTTTGCCCTTCTTGTATCGGCGGGTTTTACAAAAATGGAGTCGCCGTCTTTATATGTAATGTTGTCTCTACGTTTACTGTCAAATCGTTTCTTTTGTTCTCCAGCATTTTTACCCAGTCGTTCGAATACTACAGCCCGATCTTGATTCAAATCAATTTCCTCATTCGTACTCGGCAATGACTTTTCAGCAGAAATCGCGTTACCAACACTTCTTTCTACACCAAATAATAAACGACTTGGTGAAAACCCTGTAGATTTCTGAACTGTCGTGTTAAGTGTAAGCATTATTTTTGCTAGTTTGCTCGGCCAATCCTTATTTTTATTTATTTCTACCGTAAGCAGATTCGTAACGGTTGCTACGTAACGTTCGGCTTCCCCGTTCGCTCTAGGAGCTCCCGTCGCGATATAATGTAGCTCTATACCATGCTTTTTGATAAATTGCTCTAGTGATTTGAACGTAAAATTCGTGCCCCGATCTAAGACTATTACTCGAGGAGTACCGAATAAAGTCAGTCTTTCCTTGAAAACTTGCAACGTTTCGGTACCGGATAACGATTTGAGCGGTACGAGTTGAATATACTTTGTAAAAGCGTCAACTATCAGCAAAACATGTTCATACTCATCTTTTGTCTTCTCGAATGGGTCTACACAATCACAGTGTATCATGTCAAACGGGATAGGCTTTTTTCTGAATTGAATACAATTTTCCTTGTTTCGGTCCTGTTTGGCGTTTGCATACTACACACGTGATACAATGTTCTATGTACTTTTGGACAAATCTGCGCATTTTCGGAAACTAATATTTTTGAGCGATGCGATCATACGTTTTTTCGAAGGCTACATGACAATTCTCGTCATGGTACAGACGTAATAAGTCAAGACGACTTCCTTTCGGGACAAAACTACGATAAACTATTCGTCCCGTGTCTCTAAGTATTTTACGGCATAGTATACCCTCTCGTAATTCAAAATCGGTACACACGGTCTCGTTTGATTCTAATCGTTTGATAATGTTTAGTGTCTCTTCGTCTTTCCTTTGCTCAACTTCCAACCACGATCCCTCGTAAATAGTATTCACGCGGTAGTCTCGATGCGGGTTTCTGCTCAGATAATCGACGTGCTCAATACACTTCCCCTTTCGATACTCTAAATCGAAAGAGTAGTCCTGGAGAAAGAGCCACCAGCGTGCTATCCGCGGCAATAAATCTTTTTTATTCTGCGTGGCTTCGATAGTATTGCAATCGGTCACGATTTTAAACTTGATTCCCAATAAATACACGCGGAAGTACTTTAACGCGTTCACGATTGCAAGAGTTTCCAGCTCGTAAGAATGATGACGCGATTCCTCCGGTGTGGTCCGTCTGCTAAAATATGCAACCACACGCAACTCGTTTTCTACTTTCTGAAAAGGTATCGCGCCTTAGCCAACCGAGCTTGCATCGGTATGAAGCTCGGTCTCCCGTTCGTGGTCAAAAATCGCGAGCAAAGGTTCTGTACTGAGTTTGTCTACGACGTATTGTCGCGCTTCTTCCTGTTCTGTACCCCAAACCCACGGTTCATTGGTCTTGGTCAATCTCGTTAGACAAGCAGTTCGTACGGCAAATTCAGGTATGAATTTTCGAAAGTAACTTGCCAAATCGACGAATTGTCTCATCTGCTTCACGTTACGCGGGATTGACGATTCTATCAATGCTTTAATTTTTTCTTTACCTGGCCTAATGCCTTCGGAGGATATCTCTCGACCTAAATAGTTTATCGAAGTCTCGAGAAACTTACATTTTTCAATATTCAACGTAAACCCTGCCTT